TAGCTATCTGCCAGTAAAAGTCCCGTCATAATCAGTCCAGCCGTTTTGGAGATTAGACACAAACAGACACTTCAATTTTATTTATCTGTATAGATTCGCCATATTTTCCTCATGCATAGAAGTGGAACCTTGTTTATTTTCGTGGCTCCGCCCTCGCAACTTAATTATGTACGAGTATAACTGTATCATCTAAATCTTAAATTATATCCCTTATGTCACTTTGATGTATAAGCTATATGTTCATAAAGTTTCATCAAAATCCATTTAGCAGTGCAATCTTTTGTAGGTATGCGTGTATATTTATTATTGTTATTAACGTACAAGCTTTCGAGTTAATAATATTAGTAGAATATGATTTAAAACAGTTTCTGTATGAATTGTGGTCTTGGCTACCGCACAAGCGCCTATATTCTAACATTCAGGCCATGACGATATTTATATGCGTGGGATCTGAACCTATGTCCTCTGACTCGTGTGGTATAATAAATAAACATATTTTTTTACAATACTTACTAAGAAATTAAAGATTAGAAACTTTAGCAGTCTAATATAGACAATCAACGTTTAATGACGTGACCAATATAATTATTACCTTGACTCCCTATATATATATATATATATATTATAGTAGGGAATCCCGATCTATGTGGTGGACCCCTCACTCTTTTATATTAACAAACACCCAAAGGGGTTGTCGCCAAAAATTTGCTCCAGACAACAACAGAGAAGAAAAGGTTCTAAACTGTTTTTCCTAGGCCTATTTAAGTATGTTTATAGATATCAAGATTAAAAGTTACTTCGTTACTTCAGAACTCAGTGATTTTTTTTTAAATAAAAGCTAAATCTGAGTATTTTTTTTTGTATAAAGTTAAATATATAAATAGATTTACTTGAGTTTAGAAATCTTTAAAACTTTAGTGAATGGAAGAAGAAATTGACGTTTTGAATTAAAACAAAAGATGCAAAAGAAATACTCTTACTATTCTCAAACAATACCGACTCCAATACTTTCCAGTCGTTTACATTATAATAAAGAAAAAAATTTCAGTTCACTATAATGCTCGTTTGGCACAGTTTGTAGGTACTTACTTTGTACTATTTGCTATGCCAGTGGTCGGGTTCGAGTCCCGCTGGAGGCATTCATTTGTGTGTGAGCACGAATGTTTGTACTCCAGTCATGGGTGTTATATTTATAACTAGCGACTCACTCTCGCTTCGCTCGGGTCCGTCCCTTGGTATGTTTTAATTTTTTTGAGCGGAACCCTAATTCTTTTTCTAAAATAAAAGAAGCCTACGTTGCTCTCTATAACATCAATTATCTTCCAGTAAAAGTCCCGTCAAAATTAGTCCAGCCGTTTCAGAGATTATCCGGAACAAACTGACAGACAGACAAAAATAAAAAAAATGTGTAATTTCATATTATGCATTATTTATTGTGAAATTACAAACAGACACAAATAATATGTATATATTTAAAATTATATGTGCCTAGTTTATCGAAATTATTGGATAATTTTGTGGGTAAAACGTTTAGTAAGCCGTCTGTAACAATTACCTATATAATAATAAGTTTTGAGACGTTAAAAACCTTAATCTCACTATGACAATGACCATGTTTGTGTAACATTGGGGACAAAAATTAAAATTATAAGCGTCAAAATTCAAAAACAATATTCTAGTTTAAGGTTCTTTTATCGGATGTGCGGAACTAAAAAATCAAAGGCCTAAAACTATTTAAAAGAAATTAGCATACTGATATACATATATTTATTATTTAAATTTATACTTTCACTACAATGTAAGACAAGGGCAGCAACAGGCCATCTACAGTCAAATAAAATTTTTATTGATTGATTTTATGTCATACGAGAGCATGCGGTCTTCTTGCCAAAATTCCATTCCTCTGTTAGACTTATGGCCGATTTCACCAACAACCCATAAGCTACCTACGTATGGGATTCCTAGCTTAAAAGTCCCCTAAACTAGCCCCTAAATTAAATTTCGTTTCACGATCGTCTTTAAGCCCATATTTCGATCACCTAAATTTAGGGGGCCTTTTAATATTTAGGTGACCCCTAACTGTCGGTGAAACAGAAACTGTCCCCTAGCAGCCCCCTAACTATGCTTAGGGGATCCCTTAAACTTAGGTGACGTTGGTAAAATCGGGCATTAGACTCTTATAGTACCTATTCTTATTAAATATGCTAGTGTTCGCCTAGTGGTTGATATTCGACAAATACCTTATTGAAATTTTGAGGAAAATATTAGAATAGAATAGAATTTGCATATCTATATAAAAAACTAACCGTTTCTCAATTTTTTTATTGACAACACTAGATAAAGCTCGTCATTAGATACTAAACAAAAAAAAATAACGAAAAACGGCTGATAAAAAGAGGAGAAAAAGGAGCTGAACTGATTTTTTGCCCATTTATGTATAGATTAAAGCATTCCTTTTGGATACATTTATTTATTAGTAAATTATTAAGGCTTTGTTATCAAGAATATACATAAATTATACTTGTCATGCTAGCGATTTAAAAATTATCTCCTTCAATACCACTTTATTTTCTAAATACGTCACGCCCCAAAAAGTGCGCGTGCGCCGCTTTCGCTCGCTTAATTGTTAAAAGCCTTAAGTAGGCTTATGGCTTTATAAGATTAATAAAAACAATATTGACGCCTATTGCGGGGTAACGATATATTATATTTGATAGCACTGAAGGACACGGGTTCTTTTCCAGGCCATACATTTTTATTTTTAACCGACTTCCAAAAAGGAGGAGGTTCTTATTCGTTGGAATCTTATTTTTTTATGTATGTTCACCGATTACTCGAAGACGCCTGAACCGATTTGAAATTTTTATCAGCCTACAAAATTTGATATATGAATATATATTTTACGTATCGAAATATATTAAAATTGATTTGCATGGGCTGGCACCGACTTCAAAAATATCTGATTATCAAAAATATCTCCTTTCTAAATGAAAACATTTGTTTAGTTATTATTTACATTTTAGTGTCTGGAAGGCAGTTTTTTTTATTATCTTAAAATATCATCAATTATGTCCATTTACAAGACAATTGAGAACAATTACTAAAGTAAAATATTGAAATGTTGCATTTACATGGACTTTAGAACTACTACGAGGGCTACTACGATTGAATAGTGAATACGTAAATGAAATTCCTTACGTATTCTGTTAATCGTTGAGAGGATGTCTCATTTGGAGCCAACCCTGGACACAGTAGCCAAATCATGGTAAATTTTATAACGGGCTATAATAATCAAACGAATATATAAAATTTCGTGTCGGTACTCTTAACTGTTGAGGAGTTGCTTCGTCTGGAGCCAATCCTAGATGGAGAATCAGGTCTTAATTGTCATAAAAAGGATAGGATAATAGGATAAATAGGCCAGTAGGCCCTCTGTAGGATAAGAGGAAGTAACTCTAATCAAGATTGCAAGCTTTGACCCATACAAATAAACCAACCAACAAACATTCCAAGTTAAAAAAAAGCTTGTAAAAAGTAGTTCATATCACACTCTGCCTATAATCTACTTATGTATATCTTTGCAAAAATCACCTAAACATGCAAAAATCACTAAAATAAACGACAAACGAAATACACTGTTGCGTTCATGACATGACTAGTTTGGATAATTCAAAAATATTTTTCATCGTCTGTCTTAAATTCTATATTAAAAAAAAATGTATAGGCCTTAATACTTTTTTCTCTCTCATGCTTATATATTATATTAGCACTGCCCGCGGCTCCGCCCGCGTTCAGATGACCAAAAACCAAATTCTTAGGTTTTACATATTAGTATACTCTTACATTGCAGTTTTTGTATTTTTCTCAGAAATTAGATATTTTCCCACGGTAAAAAGTATCCTATATGTTGACCTGGATAACTAGCTATCACCATATCAAATTTCATCAAAATCCCTCTAGTGGTTTTTCTGGGATGCGGTAGCAGACAGACAGAAAGACAGCCTCTGTACCGATAATAATGTTTATTTCAATAAGATTTTTCAAAAAATATTTAATGTTACAGATTCGACTTAGTTACAATTTTATTATATGTATAAATAAAAAAAACATTACGCCCTAAAGCAGTCGAAACGTCACTAAGCAAAAATCAAAATAAATCTGAAAAAACTCCAAAGAGATCCAGTATTCAATTCGATTTTTTTTATTAATGTCATGTTTTAAAGATTTTCAAGCTCTCTGAATCTCCAAAAAATATTTCTTAGCATAGTTTCTCTAATTTCGAATAACGAGTAGGTATTTTGTGTTAGTTACGTTCATTTAATCTTTAAGTTATATTTCTTTTTCAGATTGTATTAAATCAAGCGTTATCTCCGCCCACTATGTCAAAACATCCTAAACTAACTTCACCATGTCAAGGGTGAACCTGCGAATACCATGGAGACTAATACAAGACCATAGAGAATATAGAATCTATGACAGAAGATCACACACAGACAAAGTGTTGAAAAAAAGAAAAAATGTTTATAATTCAACAAAATGGCGAATAAAAACAAGATGGCGGATGACAAGAATGCTAATACCACTTGTAATATTGAATATTAGTGCGCTGAGTCATGGAGAAAGTATGATTTTATTATAATGGCACTATTTACTGCCTTCCCATAAAATAAAAAAATAAGTGAAGGCTGTCTGTATATTAAAGAAAAAAAATTGAATTTTAACATTTTTACATACGAGTAAATGAACGAGTATATAAATAATATATATTGTATATATATATATATATGTATATATATATATATACATTCAATATTTTCCGCTATTTGTATACGTGATCATTACATAAACATACTTTAATGAAACAATTAATGTTATTTAAAATGCTTCAAAAGAATTGGAATAAAATTAAAACACCAGTTATCATAACAAGCTTAACTGTATGTCAAAACAGCTTACTTTATTCTGGACATTAATTCAATATTCCAGGTCTAACCAGTCGAATGATTGCGTCCTTCCTGGGCTATCCGACAACTTGCAACGTTGGATCTGAAGTCCGAGCATGCACCCTGTCCATAACATGCTGGCTCCAAGGTGGAACCAGGGTCAGGGGTTGCGGGAGTAGCTGGCTGTTCGCTTGCTGCAGAGATGCAGATCATTTGATCAATGAATATGATTTTGATAACACGTGAGTGCTCTTTATAATCTTAATATGTATAGATCCAATATATATTATTATCGTGGATGTAAGATACGAGTATATAAACAAATCGAATACTCGATGTCTCCGATAGCTCAGAATTTTTTTTTCTGTTTTGGGTGGTGATTTGATGAAAGGTTAAATAAACCTATACATATAATAAAATTCCGAGTCGAATCTGTACATTAATTTTTTTGGAAAACCTTATCGAATTAATAGTTATTATTATCGATACAGACGCCGGATTTATAGATTTTTAGAACTTTTATCTGTATGTCTGTGACCGCATCACGAAACAACCAATGGACAGATTTTGATGAAATTTGGTATAATGATAGCTGGTTATCCGGGTCAACATATAGGATACTTTTTACTGCGGGGAAATATCTCATCTCTGAGAAATCTATACTAAACGTTAAAACTACTACCGACTCACCCTCGCTTCGCTCTAGTAAATACTATAATAGTGAATTATGCAACTATTTTAAGTTGATCAAATGTTAAAAAAACATTGTTTAAAAGCTAGCTGTGTTGTATTGGATATTATTCTTTTCAGCATCCCCTCTTCAGATTGGAGGTACACTCATAAAATTATGCCCCCTAAGTTAAGGCAGGTTCCACAGAGAAGCGTGGTTCCCACAAATGTCTTTAGACGAAGAGTTGATGATGACAATACCCAGGTATAATTGTGTAGAAAAATATATATGTATATACTAGCAGAACCCGTGGCTTCACCCTCGTTCAATCAAGAAAAAATACTCTTTTGTTATATAACGACTCACTCTCGCTTTGCTCGGGTTCGTCTCTATTTATTTATATAATATTAAATTATTTGGCTATAGTTCATATAAAAATACTAAAATCGCGATTAAAATATGAGGAGTGGGGGTAAGAGTGTGAAAAATACTTTACGACCTATTCTCATATTGGTAGGTACCAAACATCATTAAAATCGGTCGAGCCGTTTCGGAGGAGTGCAACCACCATGACACGAGATATTTATATATTAGATTATCTGTAATTTTATTGCATACAACGTAATAAAAAATTAACACTCTATTTATCACAGCGAGCATAAATTTTACTTTCGTATGTAGCCTGAGCCTTGACTGATTAATGCTTTGATTGAACAGCTGTGTGATAGGGTTGAAATTGTGTGACATCAAATTCAAATAAAAACGATGTAGCTAGGGCAAGCTTCTGGCTAAATAGATGTTCATTTAATTTGGAATTGTATTTTATTCAGTCATTGAATAAATTTTTTTTATGTTATTCAGGTAGATTGCGGTCTCCCTTCTACAAGAATTTTGCAGAAAAGAATAATAGGTGGGAGGGAAGCGAGATTCGCAGAGTTTCCATGGCAAGCTCATGTCAGGATATCCGAATTTCAGTGTGGTGGAGTGTTGGGTAAATATTTAATTGATTTCATGGCATTACTTTTTTACGTATTTGATTCGCGCTGAAACTTATCATCTCGATACCCGCACCATACGTTATGAACAGTCTTGAGTCTAGACCCACCCTAGCTTCGTTCGGGATCTTCCCTAGTAAAAAACAAAGACAGATCTATCCCACATGAACCGCAAATTTTTCCACAAAACAAATATACCTATGTGCTATTCCAGACCATAAATTATCTCTGTACCAAATTTCATCCAGGTCCGGTCAGCCGTTTTGGCGTGATTGAGTAACAAACATCCACCCATCCACACTTTCACATTTATAATAATATTAATAGGATTTAAAAATAAAAATTGACGCTAGCGACTTAGTTGGGTCAAGATGTGAGTGTATGTTTGTTACTTCTTCACGTTAAGGCAGTTAGACGGATTTTGATGAGGATTAGTATATAGATAGATGACGATGATCTGAAATAACCGATAGGCTACTTTTAGGCACATATATAAGTAACCTTAAATTAATATTTTATTTGCAGTATCTCGATGGTTTGTGGCGACTGCTGCGCATTGCGTGTCGCGTGCGCGGCCTCGGGATATAGCAGTTTGGCTGGGAGCCCTAGATACTACCGCTGGAACTCATACTGCTAGAAAACTTGGGTATAATATTATTTATATTATTACTATTAAACCAGGCTCATGTTCTTAATAGCCGTACATATGTACCTAGCAGTAACTTTGTAGAGAGAAAAGATTTATTTAATAATATATAAATATGTTGGGACATAATACACAGCACCATCTAGTTTCATGGTAAGCTACGAGGCCTGTGTTATGAATACCAGATAGTTGATATACTACACATATTTAACCTTAAATACATACATGTTTTAAATATAAACTCTCATGACAGGAGTGCAAATATTTGTGTTCATCATACAAAGAAATGCTCCCAGCGAGACTCGAATCAGCGACCGCTGGCACAGCAAGTGACCCTAGTCACTACACACCAAGACAAACGTGTCGTCTAAGTTATTTACACCAAAACACACGTCATAGTTTATTTATTATTATAACAGGATATACATAATTCGTTGGCTTACTATTACAAGGTTCTATGTTAATTTTAATGAAGTTTAGTAATTTTTACATAAAACTTATTTATTTTGTTATCGTACAAAAAAACAACATAGAACTATGTAAAATTGAATATTTTGTAGTTATAGTGCCGCTATCTGTGGTTTGTTTTTGCAAAACTGTAGCTAATGACACATAGAACCTTGGAGCATTAATAACTAAATAAGTAATAAAATTGTAACATAGAACCTTGTAATAGTGAGCCCATTATGTCTATCGTACAAATCTTTTGTCTTATGGGTGCCTCTTGTTATACCTGGGTAAAATGCCGCTCACCTCACTGTCTTATTTATAAGATATTTCTAATAAAAATAAGTTCCTCTCCTTCTTGAAACAAGGAACAATCAAAATCCAAGGACCTTTAAAAACATATAATATTAATAAGAGTAGACGATTATATATTTAAAGTTCAACTTCGGGAAAAATTAAACAAAGTCGCTATATAGCAAATATCGCAATAAAGCAAAGTCATTATTTTTGTCTGTCTGTTTCTCCGCTGACTCCTTCTAAGCCACAAATTTTGATAGGGTTTTAACTATTATTTAGAAAATTCCTCCCGGAAGGTTTATATGCATACTAGCAGAGCCCGCGGCTTCGCTCGCGCTAAAACTACAAAAAAGACTCAAAATGGTTGGTTTCATACATACTTTCATCCGCTATTGTACCCCGTTATGGGATGAATTTCGAAAAATGCTAAAACACGTATTTAATTAATTGTATTGAAGAGCATTAATACCAAGTTTCAATTCTGATCATAAATATTTTTTGGATTTTATTATAACGTGTTTTCCCGTAGGAAGGAGATAATCTCCCGCGGTAAAAAGTAGCCTATGTCACTCTTCAGCCCTCCAACTATCTCCACATTAAAAATCACACTAATCCGTCAAGCCATTTCGACGTGAAAGAAAGACAAACAAACAAACAAACAAATACACTCTCACATTTATAATATTAAATATGGATTTAAAATTGCGAAAATTTCTAAAACTTATTAGGTTCTTTCAGACATGTAGGTTTTCTAACGAAGTTTTCCTTCATGGTAAGACAAGTGGTAATTATGTAGGAAATGATTCGCATATGAAAATATCAGAGTTACAAGACCTGGGATTTAAACCCGCTTCACTCTTTTTTCAAAGCGATCGCGTTACCACTGAGAACCACTACCTTTTATATAAGTTACATCAACAGTGTTATATAAGGAAATTGATAAGTATACGAGTATAATTTGAAATGTTCCAGAGTCGTCCAGAAAATCCTGCATCCAATGTTCCAATTTCGTATGACGCAACCGGATAGATATGACATAGCTCTTCTTAAGTTATCTCGACCTATTATATATACAAGCCATATACTTCCAATTTGTCTGCCTGATGTAGAGTTGGACCTACGTGGAAAATCTGGGGTGATTGCGGGATGGGGAAAGACTGATACAAGTAATGGTCATACTGGAACTAATCTACTGAGATCTGCGACTGTACCCATTTTGAGTAAGTTTTGCTTATTCTTTAACTATAGGTTGGTTTTACTAGGGAGCTTTGTGATATCTTATGTTTTTTGTATGATTCGTGTCTCAAATTTTTTATGATATAAGAGGATCTTTTCAATCTTGCCTGAGTATATCCGCTCGAGCACAAAACTCCAATTAAATATTGGAGTACTACTGGTAGGTGAAGATGTGTGACATTAAAATAAACATAGAACCAGCTTTGTGCTATTATAAAATTGAACTCAATATATTTTTAGGTACGGACCAGTGTATAAACTGGCACCAAAGCAAACAGATATTGGTTGAGATTCACTCTGAAATGATATGTGCAGGACATTCGGATGGACATCAAGATGCTTGTTTAGGTAAGAAGCCATTTTAAATATATTTTAATTATACATGTGCAAGAAAAATAAAAAAAAACTTCTTTGGAAAATGTCATAATTAGATTAAAATAAATTAATAATTAAATAAGGCACATTGGGCATATTACCATCATATATTTATAGAATATCATATACGGAAAGAATATAATATTATATTTCATTTGTCAGACAATAAAAACGGTTACCATGGCAACAATAAGTCATAATAGCTTTTATTTAAGTTATGCACGTTCAGCCCACAGTAGTAAATGTTTATTTTTATAAGTAATAATTATTATAAAAATATAAATATAATATTCAAAATAATCGTAAGGTTTATTTTTTTACCAAGTTTAAAAGTTATTTTACATTTTATTTCACATATTATTGAGTATTACTTTCACTTTCTGTGTAATGTATTCTATCTCATTCTCTCGCCGGCTTAATCCTATATGTTTATGTGTTTATCTCTTTCTCGTGTCGTATTTCCGTTTCATCGTGTTTCAAATCTAAAGAAGTTTCAAAGAGGAGTTTAAAATATACTTACCCTCAGATCTGATAGATGTTTGTAATTTGTTGCTCATAATTACTATGATGATTAAAATTACATTTTCAGGTGACTCTGGGGGTCCACTTATAGTGCTAGATAGTGGAAGATATTACCTAGTAGGCATCACATCTGCTGGTTTTGGCTGCGGTGTAGATCATCAACCTGGAATATACCATAATGTGAAAACAACAGTCAACTGGATTAAAGAAATTATTAATCCAACTACAAATTACATAGATTTTTAAAGCATTATCAAATTGTCTTATGTCGTGTAAATGTTTAGAGCAGCCAAATATTTTTCACGTATTTATTATTCGACGAAATACATAATAGACATAGCCCCACAGATCTTCTATTCCACTTCCATGGCTCAAAAAAATGCAGTTAAATACAATTTACAAAAGGGTGATGAAGCAGAGATACAAAAGAAATACTATACTAGTATGTTGGGTTGAGTACCAGAAGTCTAAACTTCACCAGATCGGGAAGCTCAGTGGTAACGCACTCGCTTGGAAAACCAAGTGATGCACGTTCAAATCTCGAGTCTCGCATGTCTGATAGTTTGTACTATTTTCAACTGTATGTCTGAGAGAATTTAACTAGTTTACGACATGTGAAGCCAATTTTCGAACTCCTCCTGATCCTGCTTGCAATCTTTAATTTGAACCGAGTCTCGTGCTTAGCCGTGGGACGACAAAAAAGGCTAAATGTAACAAGAATGTAAGTCTTTTACTAGAATTGAACATACGACTCGTTTTATGGTGGCTGCATACATCGGTACAAGCTAACCGTATATTAATTTCAATGTAACCTGTTTCTGAAACTATGGACGACGATAAATAATAAAATAAATAAATATGTTGGGACATTAACACACAACACCATCTAGTTCCATGGTAAGCTACGAGGCTTGTGTTATGGATACCAGATAGTTGATACACTACACATATATAGCTTTAAATACATACATATTATAAATATATGATGATGTTTAACTCGACATATTTTTGAATGGATTTTCATTCTCTTAGTGACATAATTCGTTGGCTTACTATTACAAGGTTCTATGTTAATTTTAATGAAGTTTAGTAATTTTTACATAAAACTTCGTTATTTTGTTATCGTACAAAAAGACAACATAGAACTATGTAAAATTGAATATTTTGTAGTTAAAGTGCCGCTATATAGTGGTTTGTTTTTGCAAAACTGTAGCTAATGACACATAAAACCTTGTAGCATTAATAACTAAATAAGTACTAAAATTGTAACATAGAACCTTGTAATAGTGAGCCAACGATTATGTTAGTAAGAAATTTTGTTTTTCGGCTTCTGAAAGACAAGCTGCTAGCGGCTTCCAGAAGCAATTTTCAAAAATATTACCGTATTGACATTCAAGGGAATACAAAATGATGGTCGAGCTTGCAGTTACGTGTCTAACCAGCTTTTATAGTGTCAGTGGACACTTGTCGAACATGACGATTATAATGTAATTATATTTTAATTTTAAAAACTAAACTTGTTAATAGAGTCATTAGTTAATTAGTTTATAATTAATATATTTATCAACGCTTTCACTATTGAGATATCTCAACAAATTATAGTTTGACTTGCCATTATTTATGTCGACATTTGGCTGATTTGATCTCTTTATTTATTTTTTGTTATTATATAATAAATATTGTTTATTGAGTCTGTTATTTTTCTTTCTTGTCCTTTTGGGTACTAAGTATAAATATAAAGATACTAGAAGAAGCCGCGGCTTCGCCCGCGTTCAATCTACAAATAAAAACTTTTTGCTTTAAAGAAATCTTTATCTTTTACATAGTGACTCATCCTCGCTTTGCTCGGGTTCTTCCCTATGTATTTATATAATATTTATTTGGATAGTTCATACAAAAATACTAAAATCGTGATGAAAAATGGGGGGTATGGGTAGGAGGGTGAAAAATACTTTACGACCTATTCTCATACTTACCAAATATACAAATAAAATTTCATTAAAATCGGTCGAGCCGTTTCGAAGGAGTGACCACAAACAATATGACACCAGATTTTTATATATTAGATTGTTGATTTTAGTCTATCTGTGTTGCGATACCACTTACATATATATATATATATATATATATATATATATATATATATATATATATATATATATATAGTCACAAAAGACAGGTGTTTAACTTACTGCTTTTATCCAATTTCCGTATTCTAGACATAGACTATATAGTGACTTCCCATTTTATCCTCTCTTCCTCTTTATCCTCTAAATATAAACAACTGGATGGGTTTGAAAGATTTTATTATATAAAAATTAAATTTAAAACACTCGCATCATTTAAAGTAATTTCTCAGTATGATTGCTATGTATTGCTCTTGTTGAGTACAAATTTGTGCCTTACATTGCGATGTTAATAATTTATGACAAATATCACGTTATAGAAACAAAAGTTCCTACAATAGTATATCTTCTTTTTTTTCTTTTCCTAATAGCATGCGAGCGTGCACTGTCCTATCTACAAATAGAAAAATCACGCCAATCCGTCATTCTGTTTCGACGTGAAAGAAGGACAAACAAACACACTTTCACATTTATAATATAAGGTATGGATAGTGGATACGTCACTGCTTAGTAATTACTAAATGCAAGTGGTAATTAGTCACGTAATGAAGGAATTTTGATTGTTCAGCGTAATAAAGATTATAACATTTGCTTGGTATATCTAGTATTATTAATAGTTGATAAGTTTTTTACTGCGGCGTCGCTCGCGTAGTAAGTGAGCGGGGATCAAAAGTAGTCCATCGATCCTCAGGATGCAATCTATGTCCTGGCAAAATTTTATCAAAATATGATTAGCGATTTAAGCTTGAAAAGGTAACAGGCAGACATACTTTCAGATTTATAGTATATATTTGTTTAAACTGATGACGTGCGTCACATAAATGCTGTCCCCTCGAATAAACATAATATGTGTACCTTATCATAGTGGGGAGCATCTGGTGTGGAGAATTTCATTAAAATACTACACAAAATACCAAGTTAGAGCAAACTGAACACTAATGAGATCTTAATCGGCATTGAACGTTTTTAATAAAATTATTTAAGACAGTGGTAGCCAAGTGGTAACGCGCTCGCTTGGTAAGCTGAGTAAAACGGGTCATATCCCGGGTCTCGCACCTTTGATATTTTCATGTGCAAATAATTTCCGACATGATAACCACTTGTCTCACGGTCAAAGAAAACATTATGCCAGCATGTCTGAAAGAACCTAGCAAGTTTGCGAAGGATGTGTGAAGTCCACCAACCCGCACTTGGCCAGCGTGGTGGACTATGGCCTGATCGCCCTCGCGTTGAAGTGAGGTCCGTGCCTAGCAGTGTGGTAAAAAGGACTTAATACAATACAATGTTATCGAAAAAACATAATCATTATTGAAAATTTGAGGGAAAATATATGAATAACAATTCACTATATAATATGTATATTATAAAAAAACAGCTGTTTAAAAAAATGTTAATGCTCCTCAATAACTTCTAAACAAAAGAAATAGGAAAACTGAGGACAAACTGGTGGTAGGCCTCTGTCAAGCCTGAGGAGTCCGATTGGATGGGTACCACCCCTTATCTATTTCTTCCGCCAAGCAACAATGATTGCATTGTTGTGTTCCGGTTTAAAGGATAAGGTAGCCAGCGTAATTACAGGCAAGAGGCATAACATCTTAGTTCTCACATTGGCTACGCACCTGCGGTTCGATTTTTTTTTAATATAAAGTCTAAGTGCAATTTTTGACATTTTTCTTAAATAAATTAATGAATGAAAGAATATGGGCGACAGGTACCGCTTTCCATCAGGTGGGCTGTCTGCTCATTTATCACTGAGCACTATATAAAAAAAGGTATTTTACACCCTTAAGGGATGATTTTCGGGATAAAAAGTATCCTATGTCCTTCCCAGGGTCTCAAACTATCTTTTTACCAAATTTCATCTAAATCGGTTCAGTAGATCCAGAGATTACCCCCTACAACGTCACAAACTCACAATCTCACAAACTTACAAACTTTACCTCTTTATAATATTAGTATAGATTAGATTTACGTAAGAAATGCTAACTGGCTATTTTACTCAGTGAATCCCATATGACAAACTTCATGGATGGAGTAACGAGAGCTCGAATTTCAACTATACTTATCCTAAAACCATGAAGTGACTATTTTGGTAAACAATTAACTTACTTTGAAAAAGGTCTGACATAATTTACGTTACGTTTTCGTTCCCCTTTTAATTATACTAGCGACTCACCCTCGCTCCGCTCGTGTTCGTCCCTAGCTACGTTTTAACGTTTAGGTGAGAGATGAGATATTTTCCCGCAGTAAAAAGTATCCTATATGTTAACCCGGATAACCCGCTATCATCATTCTAAATTTCATCAAAATCTGTCGAGTTGGTTTTTCGTGATGCGGTCACAGATAGTCAGACAAAATTTCTAAAACTGTATATTCGGCTTCTGTATCTATAATACTGACTATTTCAATAAGATTTTCTAAAAATATTTAATGAACAGATTCCACCACTCAGAATTTTATTATACGTATGGATTTACACTACGATTTCTTAGTGGAACGCTAAGTTACTTTCAACAGCGCTCTTACATTGAAACCTGTTCTATGCTTTATCGCTCTAAAATGTACTCTATGTGGTGGGAATAATACTTAATTTCGCATAACTTTTATATGTGATTGGTCAACTAGATCGTCGAAAGCCGCGTCTTCAGAAAATTGAATCTTATATGACAATCACAAAGTTTATTTTGCCTTATATATAGCCTAAAGGATAGTTTCAAAACATACATTGAAATTTAAACGTTATATACATAAAAATATGGTATAATTTTGATTGTAATTGAAAAATTAACGTAAGTTCGTGCCGTAAATGTCAAACAACACAGTCTGGAAGAATGTGCTGTTGTAACGACGTGTTAGTTTAAAATTATAAAGTTTTATCAAAATTATTATAGTTTATTACGAATTAAAGTAGTTATGGAGAAACTGTTTTGTGTACTGGTAATAGTGGCTGGCTTGGTTTCTGTTCTGGAGGGACAAATGTCTGGTGGCGGTAAGTGAAAGGCTTCTATTTTAGCCTCGTCTGTATTCGTATGATTCATAAATTATATGGCTAATATTTCATAATAGCATTTATAAATGCTATCCACAGTAAAAATACATCAAAATTAGCTTAGCAGAAAGATATATTATATAGTTCATAGGTTTAATATTACCAAAACTAAGCGTCTTGCTTAACTGTTACATAAAGTCACATGGAAATCAAAATTATTTTATTCAAAAACAACTTTTTCTCATTATTTTCCCACACTGCGAATATTACAACATACGCACTTCGTAATTTTACAATAATTTGGAGATTTATTTTAAGCTTTAACTAGATAATCTTAAAGTTTTAAAAAAATTAAAGCTACAATTTTTGTACATTTATCATCTTTCTCGCTTTCTCCTATGGGATAGAGGGAGGAAGGCAGTATAACGTCAAGTTATTTCGTCCATTTGCTCTAATTTGAAGTGCAAAAATGCTCAAATTTTCCCTGTATCTCAAGGTCATCGAGGATCGCATTATATGATACATACGAAGCTCGCATTAAAATACTGCTTAATTTGGTAATATTGTTGACCTTCCCCTTTAAGAAATAGGTCAAACATAAGGTCGACTCCTTGACTGAAGCACGTAAATACCACAACACATTTATTTTGTCTTAGTATAGCGTTTTTACCGGAAAGATATAAAAATGTGTTTTTTTCAAAAATACTAAACTTAAAAAGCAAACCTAAATATAAAATTTGATCCAGATTCACTCTTAAATTTAGATTCAATCTCGCTTCACTCGGGTTTGTTCCTAGGTGATTCCTTAAATTGACTTACCTTTTTTATTTATGAACGGATCGTAATAAAACAAATACCTACTAAATAGCCTTAAAAACAGCCCTTTGTAACATCCCACGGGCACGGGCCTCCCTTCAATATGAGGGGAATCAGGCTATAGTCCACCACGCTGGCCAAGTGCAAGTTAGCGGATTACACATGTCTTTCGAAAACTTGCTAGGTTCTCTCAGACAAGCAGGTTTCCTCACGATGTTTTCCTTCACTGTAAGGCAAGGGTGAAATGCCGCACATGAAAATCTCAGAGGCGACCCGGCAGCATATCGAGGTGACAGAGAGACACCCGGGATTTGAACCCGCTTCACTCGGTTTACCAAGTGAGCGCGTTACCACTGGGCTACCACTGCCTTACGTGAAGCTTAAGCTTACCATAATACATTAGTGAAAACTGCACCCAAATTAGTTAAGCCGTTTCTAAGAATAGCGCGCACATACGCACAGACAAACAGATTTTGGGTTTTATAGTTTTTTTCAAATATCTTCCATGTACAGACAGCGACCAGCTATACTTTTATTATATATATAGATATTTACTAATGTAATGTAGATAAGATATTTATATGATTAGTATAACAACTTGATCTCATCGAGCTTATATGATGATGAAGCCATGAGGTGGATTGTGAAACTCTTTTGCTGGGTACGCTGTAAGATCTTCGAGTGAGAGCTCATTTGGTTCCGTTTTGACATTCAAGTCCAATACAAAGCATTCCATTCATTTAGCAAAATATAATTATAATTTATGCATTATATTTATTTTATTTTGTTTAGTTGTGGCATAAATGCAATATTATGTAATAAAATACTTGGTCAAGGCACTTACCACAGGTTTTTTCAGAACTCTCGCCCGTGAATGTACTCGCATGGCAGGTACTCGATCTATATACACAGGCTAATAAATTTAACTTAATTTATTATTTATTTATTTATCCTAGTTCCCTAGCTATGGCCGCGTACGATTTTTTTTAGTTTGGTCGAGTCAGCGATACGTGAACTGCTCTCTTTCGTTACGCCCACTGTCTTCTCCAAAACGTCTCACCAACCGTACCTCAACGTCTCATGGTGCATTTACCATCAATTTCACCCAAGACTCTATTTAATTATATACAATAATAAATTTATTTATTGTACTATTTAAGACAATAGAGCTAAAATTGTACTTGGCAAGTTGTACTCAAAGAGCCTCAAATAAAGTTAGAACTCCTTTCTTCTAAACTAAACGAGATCATGCATAAATTGACAATAATTTATATTTTATTAGCAGAAACCGCGGCTTCGCTCGCGCTAAAACTACAAAAAAATCTCTAAAAAGGAAGTTCCATACAAACTTCGCCTATTTTACCCCCTTATAGGATGAATTTTGAAAAATGCTAAAATATGTAATAATTTAATTTTATTGAAGACCATTAATACCAAGTTTCAAGTAATTCTGACCACATTGTTTTGGGTTTGTATTATAACGTGTTATTGTGGAAATTAGATAATCTCTCGCGATAAAAAGTAGCCTATGTCCCTCTTCAGTCCTACAACCATCTCCACACAAAAAATCACGCCAATCTGTCACTCCATTTCGACGTAAAAGAAGGACATACAAATAAACAAACAGACACACTTTTACATTTACAATATTAAGTACGGAAGTATAGATGTATCTGTTTGGCATTCTTTTAACATTACAAAGTCTTACATTCTCTCTAGTCAATGTTTGAGTGGCCACATAATATGTCCTAAGAATTTTAAGGCCTTGTTTTGACAGATTGTGGTAAGTTGGTCCCATGCCTTGAGTTTGGGTATAGGAAATAGAATTATTATGCTAGATCCACACGCTTCTCAAGCCACGACAGTCCATCACAAATTCAAACATATGAAGTGGGCGTTTAGTTTGTCTCTTGTAAGCTTGCAAGTATCAACTTGTGGCTGTTCCAATCCATATCAGTTTTTGTCCACATCAGGGAAAATTTTCGGAAATTTCTTGTATTGTATTTGTTTGTGCTTTTGTAGAGATTTGTGATCAAGTGTGTGGACTCGACAGTAGTTCTCAGTACTCACTTTGTTAGCTTCAATTAAATTAGCCACCGCAATCGAATCAGTTACAAGAAAATTCCAACTATATAAACGAACTTTTAGTTTAAGTTATTGAATTTTTCTATCTTATTATTTTTACTAATCTTCGTCCAGTAGTTTTGCCTATTTAATATTGTTTTTATATGGAATTGGGTACTTGAACGAATATTATAATATCTGTGTTATAAATAAGGAAGGAAGCATTATATGTATGTAAATTCTATTATTAATGACTATATATGGTGGTTACTGAACAGGTGTTAGTAATGACTGGTATAATTAATACTATTAAATGGCTGTTATTAACAGGAAAGGTTGCCTTTACTTTTCATCTATGTATGTATATACTTATAATATAATTACACTTAGCATTTTCCTACATTCTTTGGAAAAGGCGTATATTTTGAACAGCAAATATATTTAACTAAAAAAAAATGTAATTAAGATTGCTATAGAAATAATATTAATACATCTATTTAGGAATTACGATGTCACAAGCAAATGCACAATAGACATACATATATATCAAACTCATAACCCCTTTTTGCTTCGTTGGTTAATTAAAAATAGTAAATAATAAATCAGATATTTATCGTCCTATTTGAGTATAATCCACTGCTTTGGTCTTATACGTGTTGGTGGATAGATATGTTTCGAAAACTGGTTGGACTCTCTCAGATATGAGAGTTTCTTCACAGTGTTTTCTTTCACTTAATTATATTGAAAATAAGCCTCGCAAGGGAAAATCTTGAGACTCAGGCTTGAAACCGCTTCGTTTGGTTTACCTATTAATCTTAATATAAATTGATAACATAAAGCTCCCGTGTCCCAATGTTGGTCTTCGAAACTACTTATCCGATCTGAACGTATTTTTTTTTAAATGTGTGATTTATTCCAACTTATATGTTAGGTTTTTAACCCGATTATTTGTTTTTTTTTTTACTTTAAAATTAATCATTTTCATATTGAGCGAATTATAAGTGTGCCACAGCAACACATGGTCAGGTTTGCTAGTTTAATATATAAATTAATTAAATATTGGGAAAATTACTTAAAACATTAGTCAAACTTCCACAAAACCGCGAGTTACAGTTAATGTTTTGTAATAATAGTTTCTCAATAATGGCTATAAATATTTTGTAATTTATTGAATTAGTTAATATTTTTTTTACGTATTCTTTAATTATTCAGTTGTTGATCGATCGTCAAGGTTAAGTTAAAGTTCACAGTAGTACCTTTTTCTACAAAAAGGTAAATATACATATTTTATAACACTTTTAAGTCAACACACTTACGAGAGCATTATCGTTGAGCATGCCAACGGAACTCTATTACTATGCCTCCACTGTCCCTCCGTCCGTCTGTCACAGGGCTGTATCTCATTAACCGTAACATGTAGAGATTTGAAATTTTTACAGAGTGTATAATACTATTGCCGCCATAACAACAACAAATAAAAATAAAAAAATATAAGTCAATCATGGAAGTTAATATACCACATACGTAGAGTAAATAGAAGTCACATTAATAAAAAGTATATGAACTACGGTACGGAACCCTTCGTGAGCGAATTCGACTCGCACTTGACCGATTTTTAAAAACAAACAGGTGAATTGAGTCATCTTATTTGAAGTTGGTTATATATATATATATAAAACCCTTTATCTCCTCACTGCATGAAGGTTTATTCAACAAATGCTTCAATTTAAAATATCGTTAGTGAAGATTAGAATTCATAGTCCGAGGTCTCAATTCAATTCGAAAATAAATTCCAGTCACGCTCCATTGCAACGTCTTGATTTAAAATAAACACCGAACCAAAAGCCAGTAAAAGTTTCGCTAACCTTGAACGGCCGTCTGCTAAGTATTTGTTTCTACGCCGTAAGTTACGTATTCTACTCCCCCTGCACAAAACATTTATTAACTAAAATACATGGATGCCAAAAATTACGTTTTTTCAGAAAAGACATTTATATAGATAAACTTAAAAAACGAAACCTTATCTAAATACAAAACTTGATAGAAATCGTTAGAACCGTCTCCGAGATACAGAAAATTTTATATGTATTTACATATACAAAAATTGCTTATTTATTACTATAAGATACTAGTGATTTACCCTCGCTTCGCTCGAGTGCATCCCTCGGGTACGATTTTATTCCCAATTTCATGGGTTTTAATTTTTTTGAGCGGAACCTTGATTCTTTTTCTAAAATAAAAGTAGCTAAAGTTATTCCTTATAACCATAGCTCCGTGCTTGTGAAAGCGCCCTCAAAATCGGTCCAGCCGTTTCGGAGATAGCCGAATCAGACAGACAAAAAATTTTAAAAATTGATTTTTTTCTTATTAGTACCGTGTATACTTTTATATGCATTTATTTGAAGCTGATATTTTGATATTACAAACAGACACTTCAATTTTATCTATCTGTATAGGTAATACATATGTATATAGACTACTAGCGACTCACCATCGCTTCGCTCGGGTTCGTCCCTAGGTTGATTCCCCATACAAATTTTTCATCCCCATTTTCAACCTCTTAAGGGATGATTCCCAGGATAAAAAGTATTCTATGTCCTTCCCAGGGTCTCAAACTATCTTCTAACATAATTTCATCTAAATCGGTTTAGTATATGCAGAGATTACCCCCTACAACATCACAAACTTACAAACTCACAATTCACAAACTTCACCTCTTTATTATATTAGTATAGATACAATATATTTAAAGAGATCTGGGTGTATATTCATTTGTTCTGTGGCATTATTTATTCATTTACAACATCGTATATAGCAAAGTAATTGGGTCAGACCAACATTGATACTATAAACAATTTCAACTCACTCGCTTAGAAAATGTCCACGAGCGTGAAATTGCTGTGACAGTTATTTTGTATGTTTTCTAATATCCCATTGTATTTGAAGTACTCACAGGTAAAGATTAGATTTTCTTTGCTAGTAGTAGTAGTATATCTTTTTTTAACCCCCGATATAAAAACGTGCGTCTGTCTGTGGCATCGTAGCTTCCGAACGGATGAACCGATTATGATTTTTTTTTTGTTTTAAAGGTAAATCAGTCGGGAGTGTTCTTAGCTATGTTTGATGAAAATGTCCAAGATGGTCGGTTTTTTTTAATTTTAATTTATATATTTATATCTATGTTACATTTAATTGGGGTTCCGTAGCTAAAAAGCAAGATGGAACCCTTATAATTTCGTCATGTCACAGAGTAATTTTACTCAGGTACTATTGAAGCTATATGGCTGGAAATTCTGGTACCTCCTATTATTTTTGCACAAAACTAGAGATTCAGCCTCTGTATATATAATAATGCTTATTTAAATAGGCTTAGTTACAATTTTATTACATGTAATATATATATATATATATATATATATATATATATATATATACATTACGGGATAGATACTCGCCAGAGAAATAAATATCTCGTTTAACAATAATATACTCGTAATATACTCGCTTAATCTCATAGTAAACAATTGCATGTACGTCTTGAATTGGATTTCACCATGTTTAGCGTTACAAAACTTGCCAATAATTATTATATTAATATTATGTTTAGATATATGTATATCTATGGTCTTACAAAGCAAAACCATATCTTACCCAAGAATCAAATCCACAATATAAGACGAAGCAATCACTACCCGCTAATCTAATAGTGGAAAAAATACCAATTTCTTGAACTGGACTTTAAACCTAGTACATAAATGTTCCATGTATTTTCTAACATCAAAAATACCGATTTCTTGAACTGAACTTTAAACCTACATATGCTCCATGTAGTTTCTAACATCAAATCTCCTAAAATATCTGTCAAAAATATAGATTGATATTAGTTTGCATATAAAAATATGCTCCTTTAAAGGTTTAAATGGACCTATTTATATAAACATGTTATTTATGTAAAATATGTGGAAAAAACCGGCTGTCGGCCTTGATAAGCTTCTATGCGTAGAACATAAAAGCTGTAAGCAATATGTTTATAATAATATAAGATTACCAGTTTCTAAAGTGGACATCCAATTGGCGTCACGATAGTAATTAAATGGCCGATTTGTGATAATATTTTAAGTCGTCCCTTCTTAAGAGCAATCTAACGAAGCTTTCTCACGTGTCAAGGATTTACTACTACGTATTACAAACACTTGGTTAAATAATCTGTGTATAGTAGAACCCAAAGTAATGATTTTTAGAATTTTTGTCTGTTTATCTGTGCGTTTGTGCGCGCTAATCTCAGAAATAGCTTAACCGATTTGGGTGCGGTTTCGACTAATGTATTGTGATAAGCTTCATTTAACATTTACTGTTTGTTTCATTTCAATCGATTATATAAAATTGTACGTGTAAGGGCCGAAATATTGCTATAAACTTTACATATTCAATGTCGGTACATATACTTGCCTTGAATAATAAATATGTGACCAATTTTTTTGCGTTACTTAACTCACCAAAAATGATTGTGTCATGACTATTTACCATGTCATGTTAGTTTAACGGTTAGCATGGATACTTGCAGGTCGTTAGGTCTTGTATTCGAATCCCGGTTCGGGTAAATATTTACTTTATCAGTTACTGGATTTTTCAGCCACCACGCCACACAGATACACCGTCCTTCATGCCTCTGAGAGCATGTAAAGGTTTTTCAAATGACTGGATTAAAGTACGTTTCCATCTTTTTAGTATTGGCTTATTTGTTTCAGGGCCAACGCATGGGAAAGTGGTAGTATGCTATGTAGCTACATGGGCAGTGTACAGGCCAGGAGATGGAAAATTTGACCTGAGCAATTTGGAACCATCTTTATGTACCCATTTAGTTTACTCGTTCGCCGGTCTTGATACTACACATAGTATTAAGAGTCTGGGTATGTATAATATATATTTTTTACAAGCTTTTATTTTACTTACAATGTTTGTGTGTATGTTTGTTCGGGTCAAATCTTGCAACTGTATTTTAAAGTAGTTATCCTCCACCGATTGAGCTGAAATTTTGCTTACACGATTACTTTAGATGACAATGCATGGTTAGCTTAGTGACGTCATTCTAAATCCAACATGGCGGACTTACGACGATGGCAGTTTTTTTATGCACCCCATGATATGGATACCAAATGAAAGGGTTTGCTCAGAAGAATACGAATAAATACCTCAAAAGTAAAAATAAACTTGAAATTAAATGAAACCCATTTATTACATTACACAATTTATATGATATAAAAGCTTATTTTTTTTTTATTACAAATATATAAATCTATTGAAAATCTGTCGAAGTTATACGGATACTTGCTTTTTTAGTCTGCACATTAATTTTGCTAAATAATATTGTTCTTATACGTATAGCTTGACTACTATATAAATAAATTGATTTGAAAACTAATTTAATAAGTTTTATTTAAAACGCGAAGGTTCAAACTTTAATTTAGTTCAAAAATAAGTTAAAAATTGCAATTTGACTTATATATTAATATCTAGTTTTTTCTTTTTTTATTTATCTTTAAATGTAATTCGATTCTCTACAAAAGTAAGTTAGAATAACTAAAGGTTTAATTATTAAATATTTCTGTTTGGTTATAGATCCCTGGCAGGATTTGGAAAAAGATTACGGGAAAGCTGGATATAAACGCCTTGTCTCCTTAAAACAGCGATATCCTCATCTTAAAGTGACCATAGCCATTGGTGGCTGGAATGAAGGCTCCGAAAAGTACTCAAAAATGGCTTCTACACCTGCAACTCGAGCCAAATTTATTGAAAGCGTCATGTATTTCTTGAAGTAAGTAAAACAATTAAAATAATGCAGTAAGAAAGATATGTCCAAACAACTTCGAACATCTTGGCTAGATTAAATATTTTTATTAATTTACTACCGATACGTTTGATATTTCGAGTTTTTCGACTTAAATTACTTCGCATGTGGCATGAGTATAAATAAATGGAAACACATATAAAATAAACTAATCAATTAAAGGTAAATTCGGGATCTTGTTTGTCGATTGAGAAGCGATTAATGTTAATTTTGCGTTCATAATTATAAATTAGTAGTAAGGGAAGAGAAAAATGTGATTTATTCGGTTTATCGTGTTTTTTTTTTCAAATTTTGACTTCATATGAGACTTCCCCGGACTTCAACGAATATTTGAAAAAAAATAGCCAAATTACCAGCCGTTCCCGAAGTTTGCGCTTAGGCGTTTATTTTTATTTATAATAAATAGATTAATTTATTTAAATTTACATAACATTTGTTTAAACACTAAGACAAAATACAAATAGCGCAACAAAAACCTTGTACCTATGATTTTCTTGTGCACTGCGGATTCATATTACAACATTCATATGTGACCATTTCTAGGATTTTTTCGTTTTTTTGTATAATGCCTGATGTTCGAAAGTAGCCTCCTTCAATTTGAGTATACGAGTATAAACAATTTCTATATTTTTTTTAAATTATTTTCAGCACTCACAATTTCGACGGTCTTGATTTAGATTGGGAATATCCTACTAAAAGAGGAGGCAATCCAGAAGATAAAGCTAATTATGTAGCTCTGGTTAAGGTTTGTTACATTTATACGTCTTAAATTATCTTATAACTGGAATATCATACCAAAATTGCATAAACAATCGATTTTTATTACTTACTACCGGCTCACCCTCGTTTCGCTCGTGTTCACGTCTAGGAAAATAAAAATAAACCAATCCCACGAGAACCTTACATTTTTCCGAGTTAAAATGTAGCCTATGTGTTATTCCAGATTATAATCTATATCTGTGCCAAATTTTATCCAGATCCGTTCAGCCGTTCTGGCGTGAAAGAGTAACAAACACCCATACCATCCATATACTCACAAATTTTCACATTTATAATATTATAATTATATTTAACTAGCAGATCCCGCTAAATCTGCAAAAATCTCTAAAAAGGTAGTTTCATACAAACTTTCATCCCCCATATAATCCCCTTATAGGATGGATTTCGAAAAATGATGAAACACGTATTTATTTAATTTTATTGAAGAGAACTTATACCAAGTTTCAAGTAATTCTGATTATAAATATTTTTTTGGATTGTATTATAACGTGTTTTCCCGTGGAAATTAGATAATATCCCGCGGTAAAAAGTAGCCTATGTCACTCTCCAACCTTCCACTTTCCAACTATCTCCACACAAAAAATCACGCCAATCTGTCTCTCCATTTCGACGGCAAAGAAGGACAAACAAACAAACAAACAAACAAACACAATTTTATTTAAGTAAATGGACATCAAATAATCGCATAAATCTAAAAAAGTATTATCATACCATACTTACTCTGGCTACAATTTTCCATTGCAGGAACTGAAAGAGGCTTTTGAGCCACGTGGCTACATAATAACAGCAGCATTGGGTGCCGGGAAGGAAACAATGGACAGCGCTTATGACCTCGCTAAGCTGAGTCGACATTTGGACTTAATTCATATGATGTGCTACGATTATCATGGTACTTGGGATAGAATGGTTGGAGCCAATGCACCTTTACGAGGGACATCCGAAGAAGATGTGTTGAGTGTTGTACGTATTTATCTTTTTGTCTTCAACCGACTTCAAAAAGGAGGAGGTTCTCAATTCGTCTGTATATTTTTATGTTTGTTACCTCAGAACTTCGGCATTTATTCACCGATTTGGATAATCTTTTGTTTGAAAGTAAATAGTTTTGTACAGTTTTGTCCTATTTAAATTTGAAAAAAATAGCACTCCTAAGGGTGAAAAAATAGATAATGTAAATTTTAAATACTTCTAATGTCTACACTAAAATTGAAAAATTAAAATCTTTAAAAAAACTAAAACTCACTTCAAAAAAAAAAAACAGTAAAAATAATAAAATAATAATTGATTGGTAGTTTTCATGTACTATAATACCTAATCAGATATTTTCGAAGTCAATGCCAGCCGATCTAAATCAAAGCACACCGAATCCGAAAATATCTGATTAGGTTTCATTATTATGTAGTATATAAAACCTACCAATAAGTTAATTTTAACATATTAGTGTTTTTTTGTGTTACTTAAAAAGCGAATTTTAGTTTGTTAGTCTTCATATAAAAATTGGCATCAAACTAACTTAAACGGCTTAAGCGAATATTTTATTCAAATACTTTCTTCTTACCTTACTAATGCTATGTCTACACTAAAAATGCAAAAATAAAGACTTAATAAAAATAATAATACCTGGTATTTAATAGTAGATGAAAATTACTAATCAGTAATTTTTACTTTTTAGTGTTTTTTGTAGTGTTACTAGTAAAAGCGAATTTTAGTTTGTCAGTCTTCATATAAAATTGGTATCAAACTATCTTAAAGGGCTTAGGCGAATATTTTATTAAAATACTTTCTCCTTACTTTGCGACTACTATGTTTACACTTAAAATGGAAAAAAACGTAAAAAATAAGAGAAAAACCGATCTTAAAAAAGGAAAAAACTAATTGGTACGTTTTATTTACTATAAATACCTAATCAAATATTTTCAAAGTCAGTGTCAGCTGATACAAATCAAAGCGATACAAATAGATACAAATCACACCGACTTCAAAAATATCTGATTAGGTATTGTAGTAAATGAAAATTACGACACCCCTATTTTTTTACTTGTTAGTGTTTTTTAGTGTTACTAATAAAAGCGAATTTTAGTTTGTTAGTCTTCATATAAAAATTGGCATCAAACTAACTTAAATGCCTTAGCGAATATTTTATTCAAATACTTTCTCCTTATTTTGTGACTATTATGTCTTCACTAAAAATGAAAAAATAAAAACGTCTAAAAATTAAATAAAAACTGACTTAAAAAAAAAGGAAAAAATAACTAATTGGTAGGTTTCATTTACTATAGATACCTAATCAGATATTTTCGAAATCAGTTTCAGCCGATATAAATCAAAGCACACCGACTTCAAAAATATCTGATTAGGTATTATAGTAAATGAAAACTATCAATCAGCAATTTTTTTACTTTTTATTGTTTTTTTAGTGTTACTAATAAAAGCGAATTTTAGTTTGTCTTCATATAAAAATGGCATCAAATAACTTAAACAGCTTAAGCGAATATTTTATTGAAATACTTTCTTCTTACCTTACTATTGCTATGTGTACCTACACTAAAAATAAGAAAACAAATACTTAAAAAAATTAACACCCAACTTCGAAAAAAAAAACTAAAAATTAAAAAATAACAGATTGGTAGTTTTTATTGACTACAGGTACCTAATCAGATATTTTCGAAGTTGGTGCCAGCCGATACTAATCAAAGCTCACACTTCGAAAATATCTGATTACGTATTATAATAGTAAATGAAAACTATCAATCAGTTATTTTTTACTTTTTAGTGTTTTTCTAGTCTTAATAAAAGCGAATTTTCGTTTGTCAGTCTTTATGTAAAAATTGGCATAAAGTTAACTTTAAACGGCTTAAGCGAATATTTTATTGAAATACTTTCTTCTAATTTTGCTGCTTCTATGTCTACACTAAAAATGAAAAAAAAACTTAAAAAAATAAATGAAAACTGGCATAAAAACACTACAAAACGAAAAAAAACTAATTGTTAGGTTTAATTTACTATAGATACCTAATCAGATATTTCGAAGTCATTGCCATACGATACAAATCAAAGCACACCTACTTAGAAATTATATGATTAGGTATCTGTAGTAAATGAAACCTACCAATCTGTTATTTTTTATTTTTTTGTTTTTCTTGCCTCTCAAATTTAATTATACTTAAAAATACATTTTCAACCGACTTCAAAAAAAAGATTATAAATCCGACACGTATTGTATGTTTGTAATATTACTGGTACTGCAAAAAATTTTCAGATGATAATAATCTATAATTTATGCTTCCAAATAAAGGTATAAAATTTTATAGATGTACGAGTATGAATGTTTGTATATACCGACCTCAAAAATATTGCAGGTCCTAAATTTGTTTGGTACCTACTTTTTTTTTGATTTCGTTCTTGTCAGCTAATTTAGTGAATATATATTAAAATATCATTTCATTACACTTATTAAAGGTGGGGTTTGTAGCCTAAAAAACACAGGGGTTTGTAGAATAAAAAACACAATGAGAAAACTTTTTAAGAGTTATTGCAAAATCATCCAATTACTTTCATAAAAATTATTACGCTTAACTTAATTAAGCATTTTCTGTTGCTAGGAATACACCATAAAGTACCTGTTAGCTCATGGCGTGAGTCCTTATAAGATGGTTCTTGGGGTACCCATGTATGGACGAAACTTCGTCTTGACCAGTCCTGGCGTTCAAAATATTCAGTTCGGATTAACACCTACCAAAGATGTTGGGTTTGCTGGACCATGGACCAGGGAAAATGGCTTCCTTGGTTATAATGAGGTATAGTACTTTAGCATTTTTGGTCCATCATAAAAAGTATGGATGTATGTACGTATTTAAATTCTATGTATTTATTTGGTTTGTTTAAAATCTCAAAAAAAATTATATAAGCCATGCTAATTATATTATACTAGCAACTCACCCTCGCTTCATTCAGGTGCGCTCCTAGGTACGCGTATTAGATTCACAATTTCATGGGTTTTAATTTTTTGCACGGCACCCTAATTATTTTCAAATAAAAGTAACCTACGTTACAGCTACCTGCCAGTCAAAGTCCTGTCAAAATCGGTTCAGCTATTTTAGAAATTAGCCGGAACCAACAGACATACAGAGAGACAAACACAGAAGACAAACAATTTAAAATTGTTTTTTTCATGCTTGTTATTCTTAAATTACAAACATATTCAATTTTATTTAATTGTATATAGATTGTATAGATGTTACACTATTACATGAACATCCATATCCATACTAATCTGGCTGAACGGATTTGGATGAAATTTGGTACGATAATAGATTAAGGTCTGGAATAGCAAATAAGTTTCTTTTGTTAGGCAAACTGTACGGTTCCCGGGGGATATATTTGTTTTTGTTTAAAGTCTTATAGTTTTTACTCACTTCTTTGTCTCAATTCTTTTTCCATCAGATCTGTGTAGAAATAGCGAATAAGTCTTCGAAATGGACCTATCACTGGGAGGAGCAAACATCGACACCGTATCTAAGAGATGGCGAACGAGTTATAGTTTATGACGATTCTAGATCAATTGCTGCAAAAGTGAAGTGAGTCAAAAATTTATTTTAATACTTAGGTTAATATTAAAAAAAATCCGACCTTCCGTTTAGACAGTAATAATTCTATTAATAACTAATTAAGTTTCTAAAACTTATTTGTTCAAGCTAATATATTTCTGAGTTATATAAACATTGTATCCCCTTTAACGTGCGAGAAATGCGCTTGCTCGATTTTTGTACCTTAAAAAGTAATTATATTTACATTATATTTTAACAGAATGGCGATAGACTACGGTCTCGGAGGACTTATGGTGTGGAGTATCGACACAGATGATTTTAGAGGATCATGCGGACCAGAGAACGACACATACATTGATTTTATTCAAAGATATAATGATATTGTAGAAAGTCCAGTTTTACAAGAAGCTCTGAAGAACCTAAACTTGCCAGATGGTACTTTTTTATCTGTCCTTGTACTTATTTTAGTATAGTAACTAGTTTAAATGTATAGCTTATGCATCTATAGATTATAATATCGTGAATCTTAACCAAAATTAATTGCACATTTCTGTAAGATTCCCGGAAAGGAATGAAACACCTTTGCCTCGTAACGTAAAACTAGATCAGTTTTTTTCTTGAAAGAAGACGTTTATGTTAGCACGAACATTGCTTCCACCAACTACCATTATTATTTTAAGTTATAAGTATAGTATATATTAAAATGAATGAAGCCAAAGTTAACTTTGAATAGGAAGAAAAAGGCTGTTGCTCTTCATCCGATAATCAGATGAATAAAAAATATATTATTCGTCCGACTATTGTCAGTGTTTATACGAATATTTGCCACTTTTTGTTATCTAATTTAAAATAAATGATTTTTAGGTGCAAGAGTTTCCGTATGCAAAAAATATATAACCTTAACCTACCAATCTGAGCCGAGCTATTTATTCTACTTATTTATTAGTCTATTCGTCATATCTTATAATTTATATACTTTGTAATGTACTAGCATTATCCGCCCGCGTTCAGATACCAAAAACCAAATTCTTAGGTTTTACATATTAGTATACTCTTACATTGCAGTATTTGTATTTTTTCTGAGAAATGAGACATTTTCCCGCGGTAAAAGGTATCCTATATGTTGACCCGGATAACCAGCTATCACTATAGCAAATTTCATCAAAATCCCTTCAGTGGTTTTTCTGTGATGCGGTAAAAGACAGACAGACAGACAAAAATTCTAAAAACTATAGATTCGGACTCTGTATCGATAATAATGGCTATTTCAATAAGATTTTCCAAAAAATATTTCATGTACAGATTCGGCTTAGTTACAATTTTATATGTATAGATGAATAATTATTTTTTATTCGTCCTATTAAATGACGAATAAAGGATATGGTGTGTCTACTCCGTTTTTGAAAATGTATTTTATTTTGTTTATCTATCATCGATGTTATGTGATAACTGTAAAATTTTCAAATTTTCGTACTATTTTCAGTTTAGTTGTTTAGATTAAGACAGTTCAAGTTTATTGTGCTATAAAATATCTACAACCACTTATCTATACCTTACTTTAATCAATTTCAGCAAATCGCAGAGAGAACTTAGGTCGACGAACAGCGTATGTGGTATCTAATAACAAGTTACAATTACGACTGCCAGAATCAGAATATTCTAACTACCCTCTTATGAGAACTATAAATGAAGCTACTACAATGGCCTTGGAAGAGAAGAAGATATTAGACGAAATGGATCGTGTGATGAAAGATAATGAAATTGAACCAGAAGTAGACGACAAAGGCTCATCGCATAGAATGTTTGCTAATTTTGTGTGTGTGTTTGTGTGTATTTTATTAGCTTTCTACTGACATGGGTTTTGTATGTAAATTAACTTAATTAGTATCTAGACTGAAGTTTTTGAAGAAGGTAGGTTTCATTTTTTTATTTTAGGTATAATATATTATGTATATATTGTGTTTATGAGTATATAACGGCAGGTCACATGTTCGATTCCCGCATTGGCAAAATATTTACGCAAACTGTACAGTAGATAGTGTTATATACTATGGCTATTAATAAGTCAACGTTTTGGGTAGTTTATATGTACTAATAAATATGAAAATACAGTTAAATAAATAAAGTTTTTGATCCAATTTTCTTGTCGAGTGACTTCAAAATGTGGCAGTGGTACAAAAATTACTTCGCCAATGTCACAAAGCAGACACGAGAGAGAAAAAAACATTAGTGATTACCTAAAATGGCAGCATATGTACAGGTACCTTTTTTTTTTTTTTTTTTATACTATTCCGAATTAGTGCTTGACTACGTTCCACCTGATGGTAAGTGGTAACGCAGTCGTAGATGGTAAGTCGCACTAATTCAGTAGCCACCTATTCACTCTTGCCTTGAAGACACCCATATTATAATCGGACGGAAACACCGACGCAGGCAGGTTGTTCCAATCCTTAGCCGTACGTATAATAAATGACGTAGCAAAACGCTTCGTGCGGACGGGTGGAATGTCCACGACATAAGGATGGAGACCAGCCGTTCGTCGAGTTGTCCGATGATGGAAAGGGGATGGGGGAATTAATTCATGTAGTTCCTGCGCACACTCTCCGAAATGTAACCTATAGAATACACAAAGGCTGGCAACCCTACGTCGGTGATCGAGGCTTTGTAAGTTAGCTTTTACCAGCGCAGGGTCACCTATAAGCCTTTGAGCACGCCTCTCAATCGAGTCCAAGGCTGACAGATGGCATTTCGCAGCACCAGCCCATATGTGGCTACAGTATTCCACACACGACCGGACTTGCGCTTTATATAAAACAAGAAGCTGTCCCGGCGTGAAATACTGTCGGACCTTTGCAAGGATGCCAACTTTTCTCGCAGCTACATTAGCCTTAGACTCGATGAACCGCCCGTAGTTCATGTTGGGACTGATGTCCATACCCAACAACTGCAGACGTTCTGTGTATTCCAAAGGCACATTCCGGAAAGTAGGAGTCAAGGTGAAAGGACTCCTTTTAGTGGTGAACAGGCACGCCTGTGTTTTGGTGGCATTGAAACTCACAAGATTGGCATCGCCCCAAGTGGAGACTGCCCTGAGTGTGAGTGTGATACCTACACGTATGGTGGACTTCAATTGACACCGTAATTCCATTTCTACGTCATGGGAGACATCAATGTATAGTCATTGGTGATTCCAGTTGTTTTATGATTATTAACCGACTTTAAAAAGGAGGAGGTTCTCAATTCAGCTCAATTTTTTTATGTTTGTTACTTCAGAACTCCGTCATTTATTAACCGATTTGGTCAATTTTTGTTTTGTTTGAAAGTGTATAAGTGTAGAGTTTGGTCTCATTTAAATTGAACCACCCCTAAGGGTGGTAAACTAGCTTGTCTTGAAACTTTGTAAGTGTTTCTATTACGGATAATGCATTGATTCGGTATCTTCGATACAAATCAAAGCATACCGATTTTGAAAATATCTGATTAGTAATCTATAGTGTTTTTTTGAAGTCTGTTTTTATATTCTTAAAAAAGGTTTGTTAAGTCATTTTAAACTTACATAATATGTACACATGTACTTCTTACAGTCATTTTAATTGAAGATTGCTTAATAATTTTCTTGTATTGAATTTAGAAACTATAAAATAAATAAATATAAAAAAAAAACATTTTTAAAAACAAGCTTTTATATCATATAAGTTGTATAATGTAAGAAATTTAAAGTTTATTTTATTTTTATTTTTTAGGTATTTATTCGTATTTTTCTCAGCAAACCCTTTCATTTGATATGGAGTATATTTGGTATGGGGTTTGATATCATATCATCGAGTGTATAAAAAAACATATTTCGCCATCGTTGGGAGTCCGCCATGTTGGATTTAGAATAATGTCATTCACCGTTGTCCTAACCTTACCATGCATTGTCCTCCAAACTAAACGTGTATGCAAAATTTAAGTTCAATCGGTTGACGATAACTGCTTTAAAATTCAATTGCAAGACTTGATGCGAACAAACAAACATACAAACATTGCAAGTTAAATAAAAGCTTGTAAAATGAGTTTCAGCGACTCACCCTCGCTTCGCTCGGGTTCATCCTTAGTTACGTTTTAACGGTTAGTATGGAATAGAGAAACTATATATTATACAAGGTGGCGGAAAATTAATGCCATAATGTGAATTGGGTACCATTTTGTTAGAATTGATAAAAATGAGCTCTGTTTTCATAAAAAGTTTATTTGAAGATTTAAAAATTGATTATAATACATTAAATAGAAAAAATATATCGCTCAAATGACCACCTCCCGAGGTGATGCACAGTTGTGCTTGTTTTTCGGAATTTTGAATTGTTGTTTGTCTTCTTCAATACTTGCAAGATTTGTGTTTCAAAAAGCCCTAAAGGAAGAAGTCTGGCGCTGTTAGATTTGGCAATCTGGACGGCTAGTTGAAATATCCAAAACGAGAGATCACTCGGCCCAGAAATTGGTGTTTCAAAATCTCCATTGCTGCCCGAGCTGTGTAAGGAGTTACTCCGTCCTGCTGGAACCAACAATGCTCGAGACCTAATTCAGCAACTTGCAGCAAAAAAATATAAGAGCAATACAAGGCCGGCCACTTCTTGCGATATCTGTAGTGGATCCAGTTTCCTTGAGGCGCTCAGCCGAACGCTGAATTGTCTGCACATATGGAACACGACGGCGAAATTCACGCTGCTTTAAACAACATACCAAAAAATGGTCAAATGATTGGTATCAATAATTTCACGTTCTTCAGATGTATATTGCTCCATGGTTTATGATCAACTAATTCTGTATCTGTCTACACCATAGATGTCAAAACATAATGACATTTGATCCTATTTGCAAAAAATATGGCACATTCACATGATATTATTTTTGCGCCACCCTGTATATACATAGGTACAAAGTAAACAGTGCTAAACTTTTTGATTTTCTAGCTGATTTTTTTGGGTATTCCCTACTTTTTCACATAATTCAACCACCCCTGGCATATGCGCAACAAAACAAAAAAAGAATTATTCAAATCGGTCCTGCTATTTTTGAGTTTTAGCAAGTCAAACGACCAGCAATTGATTTTTATTAATATAGATTATAGCACTAGTTTCTTAGTTATATTTTTTTCATTTAACCTCTTCTATCATATATTTTAAATAACTAATAAAATACTCATACATTTAATTATTATGAAAACATGACAAATTGCTCTAAATATCGGTAGATAACTTCATTTATCGATCGATCGATACTTGATAATATGCAATATTCACGTTTATACTAACGAATAATTAACGATAACTAATGACATTTTTTTTATAATCTGTGATCGCTAGATCTGAGTTTTTTTTATATCTAATCAATTTATCTACGATTATGTTAGATTAAAAAATATTGTACATTTTTTATGAAAATACTCTTTATTGTGATACGATTTAATAAAAAAATATATAATAAATTCGTGTTATTTAGAACGATGTGATTTAAGAAAACCCATTACTAAATACAAAAAAATAAATTACATTTTAATTTTACATTTTAGAAATAAAATAAACATATATTAAACAAAATTGGCTTTAAAATTATACAGTATTAGATAATTTAAAAAAATTAAAGTAGAGGTGCGTTTTTGAATATGGATGGTTTCACATATTTATAGTTTATTATAGTTCTTTTGCTCCTTTGCATTTTGTTCATTTCTGAGTTGACACTAAAAATAAAATTTTTAATGAATAATAATGTCCTCTAGATCGATTTTGGCCACAACCATGCGCAAGATAACATATTAAAAAAATATTATAAATGGCTGTTGGTATTCGTACTTAAAATAAGGACGATTAAAAAATATATTATTCGTCTGCCTATTATTGATTTGTACGAGTATTTATTACCACTTTTTTGTTTTAAAATGTAAAATAAGTGATTTTTAGGTGCAGGAGTTGCTATATGCAAAAAAAACCTTAACCACCGAGCTACTTATTCTACTTACTTATTAGTCTATTCGTCGTTTCTTATAATTATATATTTTATAAAGGACGACTAATTATTTCTTATTCGTCCCACTGTAGGACGAATGTTTATTTTTTATTCGTCCTATTAAAGGACGAATAGACACTCCGTAATAAAAATATGTATTGCACAAATATGGCGCATAAAAAAGTGCACTCTTTACCCTTAAGATTTTTTTTAAAGAGGTGACCTTATATAGGTTTATTTTGGTTATAAGAGACAAAGGTTAGAATATAACCTAGGTCTTATAGTATCTCTACATGTATCACCGTAATTAACCGATGTAAGTTTCAAAATAATATAATAATAGTATTGCTTAAATTAAGTAAGTTTTAAGTTAAAAAGAAATTATTACTATTTAGTGATGCCGGGTCCACACATTTGCTATTTGCCACAAAATTTAAATCTCTAGAAATGTAAAACCGTTGTGGATGCATCATAAGCACTTGCCGTAAATTTCCTATGATTTTGCACAAAAACTGACACGATCGGAAGGGCCACAAGTGCTTGGAAACCCTCCGCCCGCTCCGCATGTTCGTATTTGTGATGACTTGTCAAGGCTTAGCAAGCGTGTGGATCAATACTAATATTATCAATGTGAAAATTTGTGAGGATGGATGGGTGAATATTTGCTACTCTTTCACGCCAGAAAGGCTGAACGGATCTGGATCAAATTTGGCACAGAAATAGATTATAGTCTGGAATAGCACAAAGGTTACTTTACAGTTTACACTTCGAAAAAATGTACGGTTCCCGCGGGATAGATTTGTTTTTATCTAGGGAAGAACCTGAAGCGAAGCACGGGTAAGTCGCTAGTTATACATAATAATGATTCAAACTTACAGTCCATAATAACAAATTTCTGTACAAGTCCTTATACATGGGATTCTGTCTTTTTGTATATCTGTCTGTGGCTTTGCCTGTGCCTGACCCTTTAATTTTTCCATCTCCTTTAAAATTTTTGCTCCTTCTAATACTATATTTGTTGCATCATGAATAGTTCTTAGGAGAGGGTAGTTGGAAAATGTTGCTTTTGGTAGTTGAAGTCGCACTTTATCATCAACTGCTACAAAATGGTCAATTTTATTGCCAGCTGAAAAATTAAACAATACTTCATTATAATATATAAATGGTCTTTGAACGCGGCATCGCTCGTGTAACACTTACATATTATAGTATGTAAAATTGTTTTGCCGAGATGTTGTAGCTATCCAAGGATATGATACATGGCGCATTCATGAAATATTTAGCATAGTATGTTAAAAATGCTATTATATATATATATATATATATATATATATATATATATATATATATATATATATATATATACACATATATGACGATGTGGCTGGAGTTTTTATTTTTCAATACCTATAATCAATTGTAAAAATCTTTAACTCAAAAAGACATAGAAGTTTTACCTTCTAGTAAGCTGTTCAATGCTCTTTTCATCAATTGCTGGTCTGATATTTTATTGTACCTCTCGATAAAATCTTTATAAGTGTCCATCTCCTCATCGCACGAGCCTCTAAAGTCATCAGTTGTAATGGTCCAAGCTGCGAAACCACCAATACCGTGGTCCAAAGCAAATCTGTTAAATATAAGAATAATAGTTTGAGATAAAACATTGTATAATTTACTAAAAGGAGGTATCTGCCATGGTTGAGCAGCGAGTATATAATTAATAGTAAATAAACAATATTAAAATAAGCTTTTATTTAAATGCTCTGCTCATGAATGACGTATCCTTCCAATCCAAACCTTTCTATATGAGAGTCCAACTCACATTTGAGCAATATTTTACTTACGCGACTTTATTAGCGATAGACCTTGGATTGTCATATGAGATGAATCTATCGTCATCCCATAAATAGGGAGTATTTGAACGTTCATGCCATCCTTCAACCCATTGCGAAGTCTTGTTTGCCAATTCTAGGCAGATCTAAAATTTACGATACATTAATTTTATGTAGATACCCTATATGTATTTAATCTATACGACTATTATAAAGAGAAAAAAAATGTTTTTTTTTTTGTATATTTGTATGCTCGTTTGTAATGGATAAGCTAAACATCCGCTGAACTGATTTAGATGAACTTTGGTATGAAGATAGTTTGAGATCCTGGGAAGTCCCTTCCCATAATATAGCTTTTATCTAATCATCCCTTAAGGGAATGAAATTAGGGAATGAAAGTTTGTATGGGCAATCAATTATTTCTATTAGGATATAAAACTCATCATACCTATGTACATACATGTCCTAATATGTTATGGTCTATCTATTCTATACTAACCAAACGTACATAGGGACGAATCTGAGCGAAGCGAGAGTGAGTTGCTAGTATATAATATACAATATAAAATAGTACAATATATCCAACTCTTGTCAAAAATTTAATTGGAGATATAAACGCTAATTAAATTAAGATATCTAAAAGAAAAAAAATACTACAAGACAAAAGAGCTTTTCAGAGATTCAGCGGTTGAACGTTAGCAATGTTTTTCTAATTCCATGCGGACAAGACAATATAGTAATTATTAAGTACTAGCAGCTCGCCCTCGCTTCGCTCGGGTTCGCCTCTGGAAAAACAAAAACTAATTTATCCCACGGGAACCGTGCATTTTTCCGGGATTAAAAGTAGCTTATGTGATATTCTAATGATGATGATATGAGCTAGTAGTAGTTATTGCGTGAAAGAGTAAAAAACTTCCATACATCTTATACATCCAGACATCCATATATCCTAATTTTCCTATTTATAATAATAGTATGTTTGTCTTGTAAATACAATTGACAGAAACCGCCTGGGCGGCCAAATGGCTATCATGTAGGGCTGCAGATTCGTAGGTCTTGGGTTCATCTTCCAGGTCGGGCCAAGTTTTGAGAAAGTAGACTGCCCAGAGTTGGGAGTTGGTAGTGTTTCAACCCCGTGGATTAAAGAATACGTAAAGCCATCAGTCCTGCGTCTGATCTCTTATGGATAGTGTCGATTGTCGTCCCACCGGAATGTGAGAGTGAAAGAAATAGAGAGTGCACTTGTGTCTTATAATATCTCCCGCGCAGTTGGCTAGTATTAGAGAGGTTGACCGCAGTGGCCAAAATCGGCCAGGAGGATATTATTATATATAATTAAGTATAGAATTGTAATTTCGCTGCTTCCTTTCCTTTCTTCTAAATAAATACTATGGCAAAGTTGTACTAATTACTACTACTTAATACTAATGAATAATTGTTAATAATATAAATGTTTCATTGCAATACTTCATTGTATCCCATAAATCCATCTTCAGCAGTGAACGGTCCGGAAAATCCAACAGCCTTCGTAGCAGTTTCGCCATAAACAATGCCTTTGACTCCGGGATTGGTCAAAATATATGTTTTTCCAAACAAAGGTAAATTGAGAATTATTTTATTTGGTGTTACTCCAAGCTTTAGCAAATATTTAATAGTATATTCCTGAAAAATAAAAGATTAATTCTTCTTCTTCTAACAATCATTCGTGGTTCGATGTTAAAAATTTAATTGTCATAATGGCTAATATCAGCGACTCATTTGCGTCTAAATACAATATTTTGATGGTGAATAATATAAAAGCCATTAAACCTACCACATTCAAAGTATCACCTTCATCTTTTCCATGTAAAGGCGCATTCGCACCAATAACTTCGTCCCACGACCCGTGAAACTCATAGCCCATTATATGCAAAAAATCCAAATAATAGTTAACGTGCTCTAGATTATAAAGAGAATTCATTTCACCTGAATTACTTCTGAGAGATCCCGTTAATAGAAAACCTTTAGGTTCAAAGGCTTCTGACAATTCCTGTAATATAAAATATTCTTGTTTTGTACATAGTGCAGTGGTAGTATTTCAGTTAGAAAAATTGTCTGAATTGTTGCTGGTCGAAACAAATAGAGATATGCCATGCACTAGGGATCTAGAGCAGGAGAGAGAGAGTGATCTCCACGCACCCTCGTTCCGCTTGGGTTCATCCTTAGGTAACGTAATTAACGGTTAGTCTCAGAGATGAGATATTTTCCGGCAGTAAAAAGAATCTTATATATTCATTCGGATAACCCGCTATCATTATACCAAATTTCATCAAAACTGTCCAGTGGTTTTATCGTGATGCGTTCCCAAATAGACAGACAGACAAAAATAATTGTTGCAAGTGTACCTTAGGAGATAGACATGGTACTGTGGACTTTTCTATAGGCCTTTTTAAGAGTTACAATTTTCTACTACATTGATTTGAAGATCTTCTTAAGATTAAGCCAGCGTCAGCCATATGAATTTTAAATTTCTAAGAACGACTCGACAGGGTCAGATATTGTGTTTTTCCGTGAGAATAAAAGATTTCCCTGTATTAAAAGGTGTCTTTCATGTACAGATTTCACATTGCTACTATTTTATTAAATGTATAGATGTTTAGAATAGAGTGTATAGCGCTGGCTGGATCTTCGAATAAATACAAATAGCTGAGAAATAAACTAAATTATGATTGTAATCATTATCATTCACGCTCCATTCTCTAAAATGCGCGTTCAAAACTTCAGAGCATTTAAAAAACTAAGATATCCTTACCATTTTATTATTTATATTATTATGTATATTTGATTATATTATTATTTTATTATTTTATTATATTATTTACCTTTATTAAGCTAACGTAATTGTTTCTATCCTCGGGTACTCCACCTCTTTTTGTTGGATGATCCCAAAATAAGTCAAGACCGTCAAGGTTATGGATGCTAAATGAAAAAAATACTTCAAGTATACTTCGGACTTAATTTCAAAACAAAATTTAAAAAAAATAGACAAGTAGGAATATATTTAGCTAGCTATATTATGTTGGTTATTGATTACTATCAGTCTATGTTTTAATTGATGGAATTAAAATGGAACTATGAATTAAACATGCAAAAATTGCTTCTATAAAAAATTATACTCACGTTAAAAAATTTACAGCGCTCTTTACAAATACATTTCTTAGCTTCGGATCTCCTGCCATTTTAGAATATTTAGCTGATCCTTCGTTCCATCCTCCAATAGAAACAATAATTTTTAAATGTTTATGTTTTTCTTTTAGAGCTACGATTCTTTTGAGGCCTCCCTTCCCACCATCTTTTTCTAAATCTTGCCATTGATCTGTTAAAAATTGAAGAAGGCATAAAAATATTATTTCTTTAACAATATAGCAATATCAATTTCTAACGAAGGTTCATTCGAATAGGCTATAGTAATCAAACTTTATGAACTAAGCCATTTTTAACGTCAAACTGCCGGGCATGGGCCTCCCTTCAATACAAGGCGGATCAGGCCATGGTCCACCATGCTGACCAAGTGCGGGCGGACTTCACATGTCTTTTGAAAACTTACTAGGTTGTTTCAGACATGCAGGTTTCATCACTATGTTTTCCTTCACCGTAAGGCATTAGATATTCAAATACATATTATTAATTTTATCGAAGTGTATATTCCTTGGATAAATTAATCGGATATTTAAGATATATTCGTGCGACAATAATTTTTGGGTAACTATCATTTGTTGGATTGTTATGAAGTCGGTGCCAGTCGATACAAATTAAACCACACTGACTTCATAAATTGCTGATTAGGTATCTATAGTAAACTACCACTCATTTATTTTTACTTTTTAGTGTTTTTTGAAGTAGGTTTTTTTTAACCAATAGGATATTGTATACTTCTAAAAATCTATATAGCCTGGTAGATAAGAATTGTTTTGGTTTCTTATGATGCAGAAACGTTGTACCTATTCCATATCGACACACTATTACTCACACATTATTTTGTCCAAATCTATTCTATATATATAATAATATTGTAACTAAGCCGAATCTGTACATTAAATATTTTTTGGAAAATCTCATCGAAATAAACAGTATTATCGATACACGGGCCGAATCTATAGTTTTTAGAATTTTTGTCTGTCTGCCTGTCTGTCTATCTGTCTGTTACCGCATCACAGAAAACCCACTGAAGGTATTTTGATGAACCTTGGTATGGTGATAGCTTGTTATCCAGGTCAACATATAGGATACTTTTTACCGCGGAAAAATGTCTCATTTCTGAGAAAAAATACAAAAACTCCAATTTATGAGTATACTATGTAAAACCTAAGGATTTGGTTATGGTCATTTGAACGCGGGCGGAGTCACGGGCAATGCTGGTCTTGAATAAAGCGCGTAAATTGAGTTCATACAAACGTGCCAGAAGTAGAAGCACTAAAAGCTACTTTCAATTTCTTTCAAATTTGCCAATTTTTCTTTTAAACTTTTCATTATTTTCCTTAAAAACCTTTTTCGGACTATCAAGAATGTTATCGTTGATAGTTCTTATAAATAGTCCGTGATCCTTGATACTTGGTCGACGTAGTACATCTTCCATACTGCTGATCGGTCTGTCTGACATCAACAATCTTTTCTTTTTTCCTTTCTTTTTTTATTGATAATAATATACATATGCACATATATATATATATATATATATATATATATATATATATATATATATACAGATTAATTAATGTAACATTTTTCTCTTGAAACTAGCAAAATAATGACGAGAATTTCACTCTATTCGTATTTTTTTTTTAATTAAAACAGAACGACTTACCAATATGTTTAATTTTAAAAGAGTTCTCGTCGAGACCTACAAACGAGTAAATCAAGTGACTACAGAGAGTGGGTTCTATATCAGAGATATCGAAGCTTCCAAGACCAGGTCTGTACGCTGCCCAAGATGTATAGTAGCACGCAACAATTTTGTCTCGATTAGGACCTGCAAAGAGATATATATTATGTTTTGCACTTACTGCGATTTTTGCTAACGGTACAATGTACATAATTGTATCCCACAGAATAATAATATGTTCTTTCCGTAACTTTTTTCCATGTTTTAATTCGTTTTTACGCAGTCGGGTTTTTTTTATTTTTATGATATACGAGATCGTTAACGGGAAAAAGTTGAATGTCCGTACCTTTACAAGTACCTATTGGTAACGCAATACGTGGCGTAGTATAAGTATAAATAATGATTTTTTTTTGAATTTGATCCATTTAGATAGGTAGAAAGCAAATTAGAAAATTAAAAAATAACGGATTGAAAAAATATAAACGGGATATACAAATATATATTCCGTCTCTTTTTGCCTTTCATTTCTTCAAAACTATTGATGTTAAAAATACAGAAATCCCTTATTCAAAGTTAACAGAAAAATACTTCGTAGTGTAGTCTACTCTCATTCAGTGCAAAGGAGCCTTTTTTGAGCAAACAAAGCGAAAAATAAGTCCATTCAGGTCATTTCCAGTACGTTTCTTGGCTTCAAGCCCAGCTGGATTACCGGACGCTAACGAGCTTCCCCACTACGAGAATATGAACACACATTGGGGCGGAATGGAAGAGTACTTGAACTAGTATAGTATTATGTCATCTGCGATTTAAGGTAAATTATAATTATTAAAATTATCTGAGGTAAAACCGCAAATATATTTTCCTTATACATAATTCATATAAACTTAACACAAATTGAAAAGTAAACAGTCTTTTGAATTATGATTCTAATTCTATCTACAAATATGTATATTGTTTAATAAGAGGATCAATGCTTTTTATTTAATAATTTTAAAAAATGTGTGAAGTACATGCTTAAAAGCAACAGAAATCATGTTAAAAACATTTTATATTACTGTTTTTTTCTTTTTATAGCCATATGAATCAAAGTTTAGTTTCAATTTTCAATAGTGTGAATTTGATGAGACAGCTGTGTATAATCTATGAAGTGGGACGAGGTAAAGGCACCTACCTGCCTAATGAGTTTCACGAAAATAAAAAATATATATTCGAAGTGTTTTTCGGTTGTCTAATTTTACAGAAAACAATATTTTACATTAAAAATTGGTCTTTTTGTATATATTGATTTTTAATTATACATTACACAAAATAATCTTAAATATTTTTGTAATGTTGTTGGAACAGAGAAGAACGTGTCCAATGAACATTTTGACATAAGTTTTTTTAATGTTGGTAATGTTTTATTTTTAAGATTCGATCTTAATAATCACATTATTTACGAATATAATTTTTTCCTTAATTTATATAATCTTCTATAATATAAAAATGAATCGCTGAATGTGTTGGTAAGCGCAAATCTCGAGGGTAGCTGAACCGATTTCGCTAATTCTTTTTTTAGAATATTCCTTGAAGTACGAGAATAGTTCTTACGGAGAGAAAAATGTAAAACATTGCCTGAAAAAAATGTCTAAAACAACACTTTTCTATACTCCCATACAAAAGATTCGTAATAATACTTAAAAGTCAATTTGAACTTTAATACCATACCATAAAGTTTAAGTGTTAGTGGAGAGGTTCCGGGAAGGCAAAACAATTGAGTGACGTTAGAATCGTATAAATATTAATGTCAATATTTGTCAATATTATTAATAAAAAAAAATATACGACTAACGTTGGCAAATAACTATTTATATCTATTTAAAACGTACTATAAAAACAAATAAACTTAATATATTTAAATTTATTAAAAATTATACTCTATCCATCCAACCATTACGTTTAAATTGACACAGGCAACAAAAAAAAAGTAGAAAACAATATAGTAGGTATATCGTAACTATGATACAATACTCTAAAAATAATATATTGTTGTAAACAACTTAATTTTTTGTCCATAAATATATAATACTGACCAAATATATTTTTATTATTATTTGATTTAAATATGTTATTATTATTTTTTGGCTCTTGGCACAAGGTTGAATGAATTGCTCTACCTATAGATGGTTGGTTTCATCTTTATTTGGCAACAAAGAGATAACCTCAAAACTATAAATAATATTCATATAATATTAACCTGCAGAACCATTATATCCTTGACTTCTATGCAAAAAATACACTATAAAAAAATATACCACTTTCATTTTACTGAATGATTATTTTTAATGTGAGAACAAGTGTCCTCTTGGATGTTCACAAACTAACTAGTTTCAACGATTATTCTCGTTATGTTAATGTGTCATAATATTTATGTATAAGTATGAAGTTAGTATACAAATACAATATACAACTTACAAGTATGTATATAAATACAATACAAGTATAATATATTATATTAAAGAAGAAGTTAAGTGTTAGTAACTTGTTGATATTTTCTTCAAAAATCTAAAAGATAGCAAAACAGCATGTCTTGTAATGATAATCATATATGTAGTGAAGAGGAATTAAGGGTATTCAATACATTGTAGTTGGTTTACCTCAAAGACGTTAAATGCCCCTTCCACTTCGACATAACACTGTACTGTTGGCAGCGTATTTATTTTGCTTAACGGTTTTTTGTACGTGAATCTTTTTTTGTTAGTAAAAAAATCTTAATTATAGAACAATTTCTAAATCTAATTTATGACAAACGTAAAGTAATAATCTGAATAACAAAGTAATAATCTGGATATTTTAACGACTTATTCCACACTAAAAGGGATTTAGTAGATACACGTCCTGTCACCCTGTCGTGGTGTGAGAAATCACTAGCATCCGCCAATATAGCCGGGCGCGAAGCCAAGAAACGCGCTGGGAGGTGGCCCACTTCTGTGGGTGGTGGTCATGCGAATTGTTTCTGATACTTCTCTGAAAACAAAGTGGACTGTTGGAGCAATCCCTTGGTTGTTGTGGTCTGCTTACAAAGACGTGCCGTGTCGTGGTTCAGTGCGTAAGTTATCCTGCGACGCCCCATTAAGACGGGGAAGGTCACGGGTTTTAGTGGGTAGTGTAACTAACTGGCTTTGCCAGTAAGTTCCTCGTAACCACCTGTATGTATGCAGGTGGTATGCCTAAATGCATTTCCCAACGTTAAAAAAAGACACTGTAGATTTGTACTTAATATATTTTTTAAATATATATCTATTAAACAATTTTATCCTTTACTATTTCGAAGCGTCGATTCTTCCGACAAAATTGGAAAAATAATAAATATATTATCGGTCCGACTATTATCGGTTTGATATATACATACAATATATAACTGCGACTTTTTTATATTCCTATTCAGAAACAATCTTAAGTTATTGGGTAACCATCAGCAAACAAAGAAATTTTACATGTTTTAATTTAAGTGGCATGTAATTGAATAAATATAAGAAACAGAAAGGGTCCAAGATGAGATCCTTGTTGTACTCCGGATTTGGCAATATAAGATGTGGATTCGAATCCGTACACTACCGAATACCGATATCGATTCCGAACACGGAGTACTTTATATCTATTCAGTAAGTACGACCCGGACCACATCAATAGAGAGCCATAAATACCATTTAGCTTCAGTTGTTCAGCAAAATTAGTATGACCAACTTTGTAGATCGCGCTGCTGAAATCAGTGTAAATTCCATTGATTTCGTCTCCCTTGTGACAATCAGCGACAAAGCTCATAAGGTACAGAATGGACTTAACCTAAATGTTGTGTAGCGAAAGCTTATTATTCGAATCAACATTTAGCAATTCTTCCTACTATAGGAAAATCTCTCATTCCAAAGGAAAACATCACTACTGGTGGTTCGGTCGAGTTTTCCTTCACATAAAAATTTCGATTATTTATTTTATACAAAAACACTATTAGAGGGGTTAAAAATTAACATATTTAAAAATTTCATGTGGTAAAATCTCTTATTTTCATTGGAAAATGCAAAATTTAGGTCAAGTACTTATACTTATACCTGTCTGCAGGAAGGATAAACCAAAATCGCTGTCGGCCTGTCTCTTTCTGCGTTTACTTCGTCTCAAACACGTAAATTTTAACAGTTACTTTTTACTACTAGAATGAGCGATAAACGAGAAAGGTTTGTATATATATTTTGTATAAGACGGCTGAACTTTAAAGGTGGCTTATCGAAAAAACTGTTTTTGTACGCTTACTGGCTACCCTTGTTAAAGTTTAAGAGATACATCAAAACAATGTATTAGAAAATTGTAGGTTTTAAAAAGGCCTACAGAAAAGTCAACGATAACATGTGTGTATTTCCTAAGGGACACTCAAAATAACTATTTTTAACTATTTAAAACATACCTAAAGACGCACCCGAGCGAAACGAGAGTTAGTTGCTAGTTTTTTTTGTAAAAGTGAAATAAAAACATTTAATTCATAATAAATAATAATAATTCAATATTGATATTTTTATTACAGAAAAAATAAATGATAATTAAATTAATTTATCTATTTTTTTTCATCATTCTAAAACATTGTTAATTATAGGAGTAACCACTCATACAGGATTGACATGTCTATCGAGCTTCTTTCTTCTTTGCTTTCAATAAACCTCTTCTATCTTATCGTGTTTGCTTGTAAATTATCGCTGAAAATAATGATTAATTTTTTACAAAAAAATAAATCGATTTCAAATCACTCAAAAAGTTACCTATTAATTCATTTGTTGGGACATTAACACACAGTACCATCTAGTTCCATGGTAAGCTACGAGGCTTCTGTTATGGATACCAGATAGTTGATACACCACACTTAAATGACTCTAAATACATACATATTATAAACACCCATAACTGGAGTACAAACATTCGTGCTAATCACACAAATGAATGCCCCCAGGGGGGCTCGAACCCTTGACCATTGGCACAGCAAGCAGGGTCACTACAAACTGAGCCAAATTAAGATTTAGTTAGTTGTTAGATATAGTTGATATAGTATATAAATATAACTTTAAATACATACATATTAGAGTTGCGGAAACAAGCCCGTTTTATACCATACCATACCATACCATACATACATATTATAAATATAAACACCCATGACTGGAGTACAAACATTCGTGCTCATCACAGAATAAATATAATAATAATTTATACAAAATTGATATTACAATATCTTTTTTTATTTATAGTAATAATTATTTTCATCTATCTGTAATATATTTAAACGAGCAATTCTGGTATATTTATTTATTTATACCGGTGATCACGGAAACGGCTTTAACGATTTCGCTGAAATTTGATATGTGGGAGTTTTCGGGGGCGAAAAGTCGATCTAGATTAGTTTTATGTCTTGGAAAATGCGTGTTTTCGAGTTTTCATGCGATTTTCTTTTGCATTATTCCACGCAAAATATGGCCACTAATTTCGCACTATCGGACATAAGAATCGTGGTCAAGCGGCCAAGGCGCAAGATTGACAATCACAGGTATCGGGGTTCGAATCCTGGTCGGATAAAAAGTTTGTTTGTACTATTGTTTTTTTTGTATTTATTTAAGTTTCTAGTTTTTTTTATAAGAAAATTATAATTTTGGCTAAAAACTCCGAGTGAACAAATACAACCAAATACAATCAAATACAAGGTTAAATAAACAAATTTTTGTCACTTTAACTTACACTGCATAGTTACAAACTTCTGTAAAAGACCTTGTACATGATGAGGATCGTGTCTGACCTCTTAATCTCTGCATTTCACTTAACACTTTAGCCTCTTCTAGAGCCAGGTTTGTAGCATCATGGATTGTTCTTAGAAGAGGGAATTTTAAAAATTTTCGTTGAGGTAATCGAAGATGTACTTTGTCGTTTTTTATATCGTAAAATTCACTGGTATTGTCAACTGAAATGGTTTTAGTTTAATTTTAGTACATATAATGAATTCTAAAGAATTTTTTTCGGTGTGTGTTTGCCCATGAAGCATAAGCGGTCCCTATATATATTCCAATATTATGGGCTCAATATTTTCGGAATAAAAGGAAGAAATGAAGAGTAAAGTATGTATTATGATGATAGCCAGAGGAACAAGCCGACATTATGTGCTAAGTCCGTTTGTAAAGGTTAAAGATTTGAACAAAATATCATTATATTCTATCAATTCTAATTAAGTGCCAGTTTTTTTTAATAATATCCAAATGAAATTACCTTTTTGTAAGTTAACCAATGCTTCTTTTAATATTGGTTGATCAGATATTTTATTGTACCGTTTAACATAATCTCTATAAGTGTTTAACTCATCATCACATTCGCCTCTGAAGTCATCAGTAGTAATGCTCCAAGCGGTGAAACCACCAATACCGTGGTCCATAGCGAACCTATTGAAAAAAATATATGTGAAGGCAATCTCAGAAGAACAATAAAAACGTCTAATAACAAATCTAATAAGCTATTTCTATAGTAACCTATATGCTATTTTATACTTACATATATAAACAATAGCACAAACAAAGAGGGTTGATATTAGGCAGACAGCCGGTCGGTAAAACTTTTGCCAAATCCTATCAGCCGTTCGGAAGATGTACTGCACCGACCCCGAGTAATTGGGAAATGGCAGGGTGATGATGATGCTTTTTTATACTTACTTGACTTTATTGGCAATAGATCTTGGGTCAATATGAAACGAATGTCTCATTATTCCATAAGTAGGGAGTACTTGAAGCTTCATGCCATTCCTTTACCCAATGTGATGATTTCTTTGCATTTGCTAGACAAACCTGAAATAGAATGTGAGTGTATTACTGATGAGCTGCTAGTTATCAAGGAACGTATCTTTTAACAAATTAAAAGAAAGTGTTAGTTTATGTCGCAAATCATTTTCACCACTAGCGAATATGGCGATGCAAGCCATTGTAAGGGAACTCGCTTGTGTCACTTCGAGAAGAAATCTGAGCCCAACCATGGAACTTCAAAAGGGCTAAATTATCAAATGAAATGAAGTGAATTTTTAAATGATGAGTAAATTAATAGAACGACGCGACGGCCCAAAAGCACAATTGATTTAAAATTATATTATTATAGTTTTTATTCGTAGGGTAGCATGACGGATGGAGGAGCTTACCACAAAATTGGTCAGAACTTGTGTTCTGAAGCAAGAATGTCAAATCATTCAATTTTTAAGTCAAAATAATTATTACATAAGTTACATACTATCTAGAAAAGTTTAATTTTAAAATTGAAGTATTAAATGAATTTAAGATTTGCTAATTTCATCAATTAGATTTTGAAGTCAATGTATTTTATAAGATAAAAAGAAGAAATTGTGTGGACGAAATTAAAACAAGATTCGGGTTAAAGGATAAGTGCTATGTAATGGCTATCCTACAGGCAGTATATAAGCAATGGTGACACAAGCATGATAACGCGCTCGCTTGGGAAAATAAGTGATGCGAGTTCAAATCCCGGGTCACGCACCTCTGATATTTTCTTGTGCGAATCATTTGTAACATTAATACTTTACTACTTGCCTTACGATGATGGAAATAATCGTGAGGAAACTTGCATGACTGAGAGAGCCTAGCAAGTTTTCGAAAGACATGTGAAGTCCGCCAACCCGCACTTGGCCAGCGTGGTGAACGTAAAAAGAGCTAAATACAAAAGGCAATTCTTACTTCATTGTATCCTATAAATCCTTTGGCACCGCTGAATTCTGAAGCGAAACCTGAAAATTTAGTTTCCGTTTCACCAAAAACCACGCTTTTGACACCGGGATTTTTAAAAATAAATGTCCTTCCATGCGTGCATATATCGAGAATTATTTTGCTTGGTGTTAATCCATTTGCTAGTAGATGTTTAACAGAATATTCCTGAAAAAATAAATCCTTTCTTATGAAATTTATTTAGAATTAGAAAGAAATATATGATTTGACTTTCAACTTTTTTGCTATTTTTCGCTCCGACGCAAAAATAGTGGACTTATAAGTTTAACGTAACGCCCAAACAGCTAAACTGATTTTAATTAAGTTTTTTTTGTTTGAAAGCTGACGTCAACAAGCTATAAATCAAGTGTTCATGTTCTTAGCTATAAATCAGACATAAAGAATCAGAATATTTGTTCAGCTATTTAGATATCAGCTCTTTTCTAGACGGTAAAAAGATATAAATAACTTCCAAAGATCCAAATAATTCCAAACTGGCTATCCCGTTACTTTAATGACATGGCAATGATATGGTAACCTTGGTCTGATGCTGCAGCGTCATCTGGAATCTGCAAGATACTCAATTCTTTACTAATTAATTGCAGAGATATCGTGTTTACGCTCATTGAGATAGCCTAGATGAAAAGAAGGTTTATTGTGTTGGGGGTGGGGTTTATTTTTAGTGTAAACGCGCTTCTTCTTGAATTATATAGCCTACTATTTAAGAACTTTGTATCTGTTTATCAACATCACGCTGAGATCCTTAGGAGTGGAGCTACACGAGCACCGCAAAAGTGAATTAATATTATAAAAACCCACCACACTTAAAACATCATTATCACTATTTCCATGTAAAGGTGCATTGGGACCCACAACACCGTTCCAAGGCCCGTGGTAATCATATGCTATTATGTTCATGAAGTCGAAATAAAAGTTTACATAAACTAAATCGTAAATGGAGGCCATTTCTTCTGGACCACTCTTGAGAGAACCCATTAAGATAAAGCCTTTAGGTTCGAAAGCTTCTGATAATTCCTGTAAATTTAAAATGAAAATATTAGATTCATTTTAGTTATTGGACTATAAATGAACATAGCGTAGTATATGTCTCCCAAATATATGTCTGAAGTAACTTTTTTTTAATTATACGTATCCTACACTTCTTTCTCTCCAGCTTTTGTAAAACAGCAAATAAGAATGAAAGCCAAAAAAAATATTCTCATTTTTGCTTTCTATTATGTTTTTACACAAAGTTTTGAAAGAAAAAAAAGCCAAGCTAGAATAAGTTGCTAGGTTATTATAATTTACCTTGATTAAACTGACATAATTCGTCTTATCCTCGGGAATTCCACCTCTTTTTGTTGGGCAGTCCCAATGCAAGTCTAGACCATCGAATTTGTGAGTGCTAAATTAAACAATATATATTTATAATTAAAACTATAATGTATACGCCTTGAGAATATTACACATAAATATATTAGGCACATATTTATATACGTAAATCCAACCATATCTCAGAATTGTGTAGGTATAGGCTCTATTGATCACCTATTTATTTTTGCTGGAAAATCGTCTTTCTTTTGTTCTGTGTAATTTTTAACATTGGATTTTTAAATAAATTGTATTGCTTTAATTTCATATTGAAAATGTACTTCGTGATCCTTGCTTCATATTAAATTGTAGGTAGCCTTCATTATAAACTCGTATTTGTAGAATGCATGGCCTTAGATTGAAAAAAAAATAGTTCATACACTTTAGGGATTCCCTATCCTATATATCCCTTTATTCTTCTGGTCGATATTGATGAGGCTTTGTATGTCTTTTACAATTTGACGTCAGGATCAATCAAATAAACTTTTGTGCAGACAAAACTTACATTAAAAATTTGACAACGCTTTTTACAAATATACTTCTTAATCTTGGATTGGCTGCCATTTTAGAGTATTTTATCGATCCTTCATTCCATCCTCCAATAGAAACGATAGTTTTAAGATATTTATGTTGTTCTTTAAGAGCAGCTACTCTCTTAAACCCTCCCTTTCCACCATCTTCGTCTAAATCTTGCTTCGGATCTGCCAAAAATTGATAAACTACAAATATTAATTTAAAAGAAACCTATCAAGCGACCATACCGAAATATAAAATCTGCCTGTGTCAGAAGATTTTTCAAAATGTATTGTAAAATAAAAAATCCAATTAAAAAATACCCCTAAAGTTTGAAAATCCTAAGGATTTTCAGAAATTATCAAAATAGCTTAGATATATAAATATACTTAAAAAATAACAAGTAACTAAGTTTAAGCTCTCCAGAATATAAACACCATATAAGTTCATTCATTTACAATTTTGCAATATTAACGTACCAAGACTTTTAATTACAAAAGATTTTTCGTCGAGACCTACGTACGCATAGATCAAGTGACTACAGAGGGAAGCATCTATGTTAGAGATGTCGAAACTCCCCGCACCATTTCTGTACATAGCCCAGTTTGTGTAGTAGCATGCTACAATTTTGTCGCGATTTGGACCTGAAAAATCGATAATTTACTTTTATACCCTGAGCAAAAACATTGCGTGCCTTCTTATTGTCGCTAGAAGGTGAAGACTGGAATTTTATTTAAAGCAATAATAATAAAATCTCAATGTATTGAAGTTTGAAGAAATATTCAAGTACAAAATTATTTCTAGAACATGTTCTTGAATTGTACATATTACTACAAGGCTGAAAGAAAAAAAATTTTTTTTGTTATTTTATTACTCTTGAGAGACCTGTTTGTTCCTTCTATTATTGTCCTCATATTATTTTACAACTGATATCAGAAGTATGGTTAAAGTAAACAATTAAAATCATAAATTCCCATAAACCACAAACGTATTTTCCTTATTTACTGTTCTACCGATGTACATATATATATATATATATATATATATATATATATATATATATATATATAAGAAAATTCTAACTAAGCCGAATCTGTACATTAAATATTTTTTGGAAAATCTGATTGCAATAGACATTATTATCGATACAGAGGCCGAATCTATAGTTTTTAGAATTTTTGTCTGTCTGTTACCGCATCACGGAAAAACCACTGAAAGGATTTTGGTGAAATTTGGTATAATGGTAGCTGGTTATCCGGGTCAACATATAGGATACTTTTTACTGCAGGAAAATATTTCATTTCTGAGAAAAGATACAAAAACTGCAATGTAAGAGTATACTAATATGTAAAACTTAAGAATTTGGTTTTTGGTCATCTGAACGCGGGTGGAGCCGCGGGCAATACTAGTATATATATACCTATATAGGTATAACCAGCGTTTACATATGTAAAAGCGAAATGCTTGTCTCTCTCTCTCTTTAAATTTTAGAAAGTATAAATACTGCTAACTTGAAATCGGCAAACTGCAAAATGGCAGTTCCTTATAACAAAATTTATTTTTGAAAATTCTACGCCTAAAGGGGTATAAAACATTGAAAATTTTGTATGAGAATAATCGAATTTTTTAAACAATTAAACCTCGATGATATGACTACCCTTCTATTATCCATATTTCAGCTATATAATTAAGGAATATTTGGGAACCCTACAAACTAAAAAATAACTTATATTAGTTAAACTAACTTAAAAAGCACTTATTTTTCATCAGAACTAAAAAAATACTTTCATTTTTGTAAAATTTAAGAATTTTTTTTTTCTTACAGATGTTATTGTTATGATGTAAATAGTATATTCCCAAAAGGTTTTCAGTAAATTAAAAATGACCCTGTATATATATATAGTATATAGGCAGTTTTAACTGCCTCGGTGGTGTAGTGGCTAGCATGTACGGCTGCACACTCGGAGGTCCTGGGTTCGAATCCCGGGTCGGGCCAACTTTAGTTATTGAGTCTTTCTGTATAGTAAGCCTCAGTAACAGCCCGGAGTTGGGAAGTTGGCGGTGTTTCACCCCCGTGCCTCGGAGAGCACGTAAAGCCGTCGGTCCTGTGCCTTAACTCTCACTGGTCGTGTCGAGCAGTCGTCCCACCGGAGTATGAGAGTGACAGGAATAGAGAGTGCACGTTGTGTCTGCGCGTACACTTGTGCACTATAATATCTACTGCGTAGTTGGCTAGTCTCAATGAGATTGGCCGCCGTGGTCGGAATCGGCCGGGAGAACATCATCATCATCATCATATAGGCAGTGGTAGCCCAGTGGTAACGCGCTCGCTTGGGAAACCGAGTGAAGCGGGTTCAAATCCCGGGTCTCGCACCTCTGATATTTTCATGTGCGAATCATTTCTAACATGATTGCCACTTGTCTTACGGTGAAGGAAAACATCGTGAGGAAACCTGCATCTATGAGAGAACCTAGCAAGTTTTCGAAAAACATGTGAAGTCCGCCAACCCGCACTTGGCCAGCGTGGTGGACTATGGCCTGATCCCCCTCGTATTGAAGGGAGGCCCGTGCCCAGCAGTGGGACGTTAAAAAGGGTTGAATACATACATACATATAATCATATATATATAATCTATTCCTTACTATCCATTAAAACATACCTACGGACGAACCCGAAGGGGAACCAAACGAAAACGAAGGGGAATATTAGTTTAGTGTTCTCGTAATTAAACAACTAAATACCTGCAAAACCTGCATATCCTTGGATGCTTTGTAAAATGTACACTATTAAAACAAACAGCACTATCATCTTAAAGCTAAGCATCTGCTATAATGTATAGGGACATGTGTCTCTCTAGATGCTGAAAAACCTGACTAATTTCATCGTAGGTCCTCATCATATTTTTACATAATACATATTGCGTCATACGTTTGTTCGTGTTTTCCTCCTGCGATTAAAGAATTTATATTTACACTAGCAATACCCGCAGCTTCGCCCGAGTCCAAACTTTCGATCACTAACAAAATTCACAGAATCACCTGCTGGGCTAATCTGAAGATAACCTGAAAATTTCATTAAAATTGCTCCAGCTGTTTTGGAGTCCATAGGAAACATACATACATACATCGATTTTCATTTTATTTAATCAACAATTTAAATTTATTTATTGCTCGGAAAATGGAGTCCTTTATTAAAATTTAGTGACACACCGACTGCAGCGCCACCTACAGTATCCATTTCTGTATTCAAACCTTGCAGGGACCCACTCGAAAATACACAAAAAATATAATTAAAATCGTCCCTGCCGCTTAGGAGATGATAAGAATAAAAGATAAGATAACGTTGTTCAAAAATGAAACAGTGTGAGAGAATAATAGAAAACGATAATATGTTTATGTATACTATAATTTCATAAAGGAACAAATACATATATCACATGTCTTCGTAGGGAGATCCACAGCGTACATTGTAGAAGTGGTCGCATACCTGAAAATGAAATGTAAATAAATAAATAAATATGTTGGGACATTAACACACGACACCATCTAGTTCCATGGTAAGCTACGAGGCTTGAATTATAGATACCAGATAGTTGATACACTACACATACTCGTATAAATATAGCATTAAATACATACATATTATAAATATTAAAATATTAAATATTCAAATATTTAAATATTTATGTGTTACATACAGATTATAAATACTTAAATATGTATGTATTTTACATAATTTCACCCAAGACTGGAGTACAAACATTCGTGCTCGTCACACAAATAAATGCCTCCAGCGGGACTCGAACCCGCGACCAAGCAAGTAGGGTCATTACAAACTGAGCCTAACGGTCATCAAATTTGAATATAGTTATTTATTCATTGAAGATTTATTTAATGCACTGTATTTATTACATGGGAGAGTATATAAAGAAGTATGTATACTCGATAGTCAATAGATATGATACCGATTGACCTAGGAAATACCACACTCTGAAAAAAACACAGAATATCGGTTTAAAGTAGTGTCCTTTTGACTTTTATCGACCAATATACAAATAATATTTCCTTCCACCTCCATCTGTTTCAGAAAGTATCATTAAAATCAATTCGGCCGTTCATTTGTTATCATATATCATGCGGAATCTTTTTTTTCAGGTATAAAAAATAGCCTATGTTACTTTCACCCGGATTCTCGATACCCGAAAGTGTCTGTAATACTCCTGCGTTTTCAAACCAATACGGATACAGAAAAAAATATTTAACAGCTATTTGAGATTTTTTTTCAAATACCTATATGAGCTTAACATTGGTCAGGTAGTCGACACTGAAAGATATTTACATATAAGTAACTAGCACTGCCCGCGGCTCCGCCCGCGTTCAGATGACCAAAAACTAAATTCTTAGGTTTTATATATTGGTATACGCTTACATTGTAGTTTTTGTATTTTTTAACAGAAATGAGACATTTCTCGCGGTAAAAAGAATCCTATATGTTGAAATTTCATCAAATTCCCTCCAGTGGTTTATCTGTGATGCGGTAACAGACAGACAGACAGACAGTCAAAAATTCTAACAACTATGGGTTCGGCCCCTGTATTGATAATAATGTTTTTTCAATAAGATTTTCCAAAAACTATTTCATGTACAGATTCGGCTAAGTTAGAATTTTATTATATGTATAGATAAGTCACTATAATCCAGTACCTGGAACTGTTCATTGAATAACGTCCCATTGCTACATAGATCTGTGCTAACTAAATGCCGATGCCAGCAAAAATGGTATGCCTGTAAATGTAAAGGTGTAATATTAGAGTTATGTAATAAAAAAATCATATTACAATTCGGAAAATTTTGAGTCGGACTTGCGGACTGAGAGTTCCGCTGAGTTTCTTTCGCCAGTTCTTCTCAGGTTTGAGGCCTCTTTCCGAACTGGTAATAGACTTAAGGCGTTAGTAAGAAAATGTAATAATTTAATGCTGAATAAAATATTTTGAATTTGAATTCGTAGCATGACTGGCGAACACGACGAAACTATAAAGGTTCTATAACTAAAGTTAAAAAGGTTATGAAAAAATGTGTTGATTGAGTGAGACTTGTACTTCTGAGATATCAGGAGTATATTATCGTTTTTAAATATGAATTACCCGTAGAATTTCAAGCAGCTTCCGTAAATTGCAATCCTACGCAGAGGTTTGTTATCATGCCAGATATCTGATATCTATATGTATATAATTTATAGTACCTGGTCGACCGGCGTTTTTTATATTTCTTCGGATTTCGGAAGATATAAAAATTGCGGGTTTTTTTCAGAAAAGATACCAATAAAAATAAATTTAAAAGCAAAAACAATTATATAAATACACAATTTGATCTAGAGCCGTTTTGGAGATACACGAAATAAACTTATATATATATATATATTATATATATAAGTTTATATATATATATATCCTAATATTATAAAAAGGTAAAGATTGTGAGTTTGTAACGTTGTAGGAGGTAATCTCTGGATCTACTGAACTGATTTAGATGAAATTTGGTAAGAAGATAGTTTGAGACCCTGGGAAGGACATAGGATACAATTGTATCCCGAAAATCATCCCTTAAGGGGGTGAAAATGGGGATGAAAGTTTGTATTGGGAAGCAAGCTAGTGACGAACCCGAGGGAAGGGAGGGTGAGTCGCTAGTACACAACAAACAAGAATTGCAAGAAATGAAAGAAGGATTTAATATTATAAGATTTATAATCTTTTGTTACCTGACATCCACTATCCACGTCCGCGTAGTATCCTCTAGTTCTACCCTCGCAAGAGAACCGAGTAAGTGGCGGTCTATCAAACACCGGATATAGAGGTGGGTCATGAGGGAGATGTAATACATGATAGTACGCGAAATCTCTGTCATGCTGGCACAGTACCATTGTGAGAGCTGAAAAGTTAAATTTGTCCGAAATAAACAGGAAATGGCGGGATTAATTAATTGTTGATTTTTAAGTCGATAATACGTTTTTTAGTAATAAATTTTATAATTTAAAATTAAAAATTATTTTTATAATTGGTTTTAGATTAATTACATTAAAATAAAATATAATTACTTTTCACAGTAATTACTTTTTGAACTTTCCGTACATAGGTATCATATTTGTGATAACTCTTTATTTTTTCTGGATTTATTTTAAAAGTTTGAGATATATACTATTTGGTTTTCTAAAAAGTGCACACTTAATAAAAAAGGCATAAATAACTTTATCATGACTTATCAAAGAAAGTCAACTCACCTAATAAAAACATAGAAATTATTTTCAACATTTTATATGTAAATATAAATAAATAAAATAAATAGGAACGCGTACGTTTCACGTATAACAGATAACTGAACTAAGTCTCTAATGCTTGCCTTTGAAGTTTAGAATGTGCTGATTGATATAGATATTGAAAGCTTTATGTACGAAGTAACCAATAAAGGTATACATATATCATCTAATATATAAAATATATCTCGTGTCACGGTGTTTGTGGTCGCACTCTTCAGAAACGGCTCGAACGATTTTAATTTTTTTTGTATATTTAGTAGGTATGAGAATAGGTCGTAAATTATTTTTCACCTTCCTACCCCCAACCCCTTATTGTTTTATCGTGATTTTAGTGTTCTTGTATGAACAATATTACATAACGACGAACCCGAGCGAAGTGAGGGTGAGTCTCTGTATAACGCCAAAGGCTTTTTTGTAGATTAAACGCGGGCGTAGCCACGGATTTTGCTTGTATCAATATATAAATGGGCAAGCACAAAAATCTTTAATGTCTTTTTTTTCTCTGTTTGTGAATAGATTTATTTAGTAGCTACTAGCGACTCACTCGCACTTCGCTTCGGGTTCGTCGCTAGATAAAAACAAATATATTCCACGAGAACCATTCATTTTTTCGGGATAAAAAGTAACCTATGTTCTGTTCCAGACTATAATCTATCTCTATGGCAGATTTCACCCAGATCTTTTCAGCCGTTCTGGCGTGATAGAGTAACAAACATCCATCCATCCATCCTCACAAACTTTCATATTTATAATATTGAGTATTGACAAGCTTCAGTGATATCAATAAAAAAATTTGGAAACTATTCATATATCTTTTCTTCTTCTCCCCGCCCATTTCCCAATCACTTGGGGTCGGCGCAGTACATCTTCTGTACTGCTGAAAGAATTTGGCAAAAGTTTTACGATCGACCGCCCCACGCCTGCCTGGCGTCAACCCTCCTTGGGAATAAAAAACATTAATATTATTCATATATGTTTTTCAAAAATGTTTCTACTATATATTATACGTGAACATCCGATATCATCTTATAGTTTTTAAGTAATAATTATATATTAAAAGAAGATTAATCTAACCATCAGCCCTGTCGAGTATAGGCTTCATCTGTCTCCCTCCATTGCCATCCTACCACCACCTTCACAATGTCTTTAGATCTCATGACTGGGAGTTTTCTGGTCTCATACAGTCGTACGGTCTCGTACGGTCTCATACGGTCTTCTACGGTCTCATGGCCATATTTCTATGACTGCTTTCGTCTGATGACCATATTTTAGCCAAGCCAAATGTCCCACCCATGTCCACTTAAGTTTTGTGATCCATGTAAGACCAAGACCAGAAGGTTAGAAGAGTCACAGGTCTTTGGATTAAGGTTTGAAAAGAGCAAAAGTAGAGAGTGGGCCATTATAAAAAAGCTCTTCTATGACTCAATCTTTTTACTAATTATTCTATGAAGTTGGTATGATGGAGATGATCTCCGAAACTACTGATCCAATTTTCAAAATTATTTAACTGATAGAAAGTTACATTACCTATGAGTGCTATAGGTTATTTTTTATTCCTTAAAAAATGTGTTTACTGTCAGAAATCACAATAATTTTAATCGAAGTCAGAAAGAAACTGGACGTTCAGTTGCAGGTTACTGTTGTGCATCTGGATACGCACCAGAGTGAATCGAGGGTTACTCACCAGTACTATATACGAGTAAAATAACGAATAAAAGAAATTTACATATATAAACTATTGAATAAAGCCTTCCATAGGATCACTGTATCAATTTTCGCACGTAACCAAGGTCGTGTTTAGACCTTGCGGTCATCAATACTGACTCTATAATAAGAGATTTTTACTACACTGTGTCTATTATTATATACCGTAAGGGAAGACGGTTCTACTTTTTTGTATAATAACAATAATTTATTTATTGTACTATATAAAGTGACAATATAATAGGTTAAAGTAAGTAAAGCAAGTTGTACAAAAAGTGTCAAAAATAAGTTGAACTACTATCTCCTAAACTAAGCCAGAGCCTGTATTTTAGGTGACAGACGTTCTGCTTTCACAATTGAATTTACAATTATTCATACATCATGCGAGTTCTCCAACAACATCAAAAATTTATATTTCCGCTTTAGACAAAAGCTTTTATTAGATTAGTGAGTTTTTTTATGATTGATTTTCCATATCAAATCAACAATACATCTAAAAATCACTTTTAACACATAAAAATTCTAGAATTTAAAAATCGTTGTGTTTTAAAGGAATAAACTTTAACCTGGTATGTTACGGCACCAAAAAATAACCAAAAAAGAAAAGTGGCAAATATTCTTACAAACCGATAATAGTCGGATGAATAATATATTTTTTATTCATCCGATTATCGGACGAATAGCAGCAGCCTCCTTTATTTATTACTAGCAGCACCCCGCAGCTTCGCTCGCGCTAGAACTACAAAAAAAATGATAGGTTTCATACAAACTTTAATTATAAGTAATATAATTATTATAATAGCAATTAAAATTACACAATTAATATTTAATATTCAATTATAGATTTTATTGAAATTATATAAAATGATTTAAATAAACTATATTGTAAGGTAGTTTGGTGTTCTTTTATTTTTTTTAAATCACCTAATTATATAGGTAATGACCTTTGAGACGCCTAAAATGTTAATCTCTCTCGTGAGTCGTGACCCTGATTGCTGTAAAGCATTCGAAACGTCGGAAACCGTAATCATACATATAATAAACTTGTAACTGATTGCTGTCTGTACATGGAAGATATTTCAGAAAACTATTATTGAGGGTCTTTATTAATGCAATAGAACCCAAAACAATGATTTTTAGAATTTTTGTCTGTTCATCTGTTTGTCTGTTTATCTGTGCGTTTGTGCGCATACCCTCAGAAACGGTGTAGCCAATTTGGGTGCGGTCTTTACAAATGCATTGTGGTAAGCTTCAGTTAGCATTTACTGTTTGTTTCATTTCAACCGGTTAATAAAAAAAGTTGTCAATTTAAAGAATCAGCTAGTGATGATTCCGTGCGAAGCGAGGTTGAGCCGCTAGTTCAAAATAAATTCGCAGAATATCCGAAAAGATAGTTTTATTTAAAACAAGTAGAACCCGCGGCTTCGCTCGCGCTAAAACTACAAAAATCTCTAAAAAGGTAGTTTCATACAAACTTTCATCCCCTATTTTACCCCCTTATAGAATGAATTTCGAAAATTATATAAAATTTTATTAAAGAGCATTCATACTAAATTTCAAGTAATTCTGATCATAAATATTTTTTTGGATTGTATTATTACGTGTTTTTCCGTGGGAATTAGATAATCTCCCGCGGTAAAAAGTCTATGCCTATGTTACTCTCTAGCCCTCGAACTATCTCCACACATACAATCACGCCAATCCGTCCCTCCGTTTCGACGTAGAAGAAGGACAAACAAACAAACAAACACACTTTCACATTTATAATATTAAGTATGGATGTTAAACATTCGCATAAGTCTTTTAATTTTATTGCAATGACTCGGGTATGTTACCAAAAATGACTTTCAGGAAGGTTTAAAATTTAAGTACATTACTAAAAGTAAAGTATTTCTTTAATTATTTTTTCAACATTTGCTAAATTAAAAAAAATCACACATTTTGGGACTGGAACTTGTTAAAATTTACGTTCCTATTTCCTAGTAACATATCCGAGCCATTCCAACAATAATTATAGTAATATGGAAAATGTCCTATTCAAAACAGATATTTTTACTAATCTATACATACAATAAAAACTGAGTCGAATTTATACATTAATTTTTTTTGGAAAATCTTATTGAAATAGGCCTTATTATCGATACAAAGGTCGAATCCATAGGTTTTAGAATTTTTGTTTATCTGTCTGAGTCGCTAGTGTCTAAATATAATAAGTTAGTATAGAACTACTAAGTAAACAGTTATACATATATATTTCAACGTAAAAGGTAGTCGTTAATGTCAGTCAGATAGCTGTTATTTATATATGTTGGGACATTAACACACAGCACCATCCAGTTCCATGGTAAGCTACGAGGCTTGTGTTATGGATACCGGAGTATAGTTGATACACTACACATATATAACTTTAAATACATACATATTATAAATATAAACACTGGACTGGAGTACAAACATTCGTACTCATCACACAGATGAATTTCCCCAGCGGGAATCGAACCCGCGACCGCTGGCACTGCGAGTAGGGTCACTACAAACTGAGCCAAACGTGTCGTCATATACTCCTATATTGTACTGTATATTGTATTGTAAATTGTATATTCGTATATTGTATCACAAGAATGTAGGGTGGGTCGCTGTTTAGTGAGCAACCTTAATATTAAAATAACATTTATAAAACATCGTGACTGAACATGGCATTTAGATACTTCCTTATATTTTTTTTATATTACCTATATTATTTTATTTTTTGACCTAATTTTGTAAGGCTTTATTTACTTACTCATAGGTACTTATTCATACTTTATCAGAAAACTTCTAAGTATTTGATACTTGTAAAGTATTAAACATCAATCTTTAAGTAATAGTGTCTAATTTAAAATACAGGTTAGCTTTTTATTATGCGATAGAGGACATTCAGTGTCTTAGTATGGAGAATGCCCATATATATATATTAGTAGATTGCCATCACGACTTGGACGACCGTCGTTTCGTCGCACAGGACACGTCTCAGCCTATAAAGCCAAAAGTTCCGGGTTTGATACTGTAAGAGAATAATAATAACTAGTGATCGCCTCGTGGTTGAAAATTAACCATAATTTATTAAATTTGATCGATATTGAGGTTCCTTTTTCAAAATTATATAGATAGCCTATAAAATCCAAAAGAATTCTAAAACTGTCCCATAGGTTTAGAGATTTGCACATACCGACAAACAAACTTTTCATCTTTATATTATGTATTGTATTATTATTATATATGTATTCATATTATAATTCATATTATAATATA